GGAGGCTTATTTAAATTCCCCCCCCGCTCTCTCACCCTCCTTTCATGTAAAACACCACTGTTTAGGATAAGCCAAGTCAGAAGCAGGTTGATGTTTTAGTAACACAGTTCATGAACAGTCTGGCGACTATAGATTCAAGTCTAGCAGATCATATCAGATACCTCAGTCAGGTTAGCACTTCAAGGAACCCTTCAATAAAAAAATAAGAATATCATGTACGATTCACATCAGTACCCTTTAAACATTTGTCTGACCATCTGCGGCGGAGAAATCTCTAAACAAATAAGTAGGAAAACTAAAGTGTACAGATTAAGGGTCTCTCGAAATTATGTCAATATTAAAGAGCTTATATTTAATCACGAAATATTCCTATTTTGTATTGCGGAAGATTGACCATGATTGAACCAGTGCAGCCCAAATTCAACTAGTTGTAAAGATTGAAATAATTTACGCAGATTGTTAGTGATACATTGAATCCAATGGTCTGGTTTTACGTCGCCATTCTTTTTTCGATATTTTTGTTTGGCTGGTTTAACCTGTATATACAGGGTTACCCACAAAGGATGAGACTTCAGAATTTATACGGTCTGTTTCTTAAAATTCATGATTCCCTGCAACTATAAACTTCTTTTTCAAGTCATTAAATAAGCCATTTAAAGACCACATTCAAGGCAGACTTAATTTAGACCTGGATCCTCATATTTGAAGTGTTTCAAGTCGTCTTTACAGTCTCATTCTTTGTGGATAACCTTGTTTACACTCTAGGTAAGTACCGGTCAACCCCATGAAGGGAGCAGCTACGCTAGTCAGAAGGTTCTCCAGATGGCCTGGCATCGATTAGCACACGCCAGGTCCTTTTATTCATTATACTTTGTGATCGGAAGATATTTGAAATCTTGTAAGGATATGTTTAGTCACAACTTTTGTATGTAAATGAGGCAATATATAAATCGAGGTGAGACCCACCATATTACGGAATTCTTGCAAGATTTTAGGGAAGGATTTCTGAAAGATTTCACGCACGTCCTAGTTTAAAGCATTTTTGCAATTTAATTTTGACCCCAGGCGTGATCTATATGCGTATTTTATGTAAAGTGCTAAGGGGTAAGATTGCCAAGATCAGTTTCAGCATTTTTTTAAAATAAATAAATAAATAATCTCTTTTATTTTGAAACTTTCCCCAAATGTTATTATGAATTCATATAATTTAAGTTCTCTAATTCCAGAACACGAGTAAGTGAACTGGAGAGATTAAAAGGACAGCATGGATCCCGTCTTATCAGTCCAGCACAGAGACAAGCTCTTATCCAACAACAGCAGAACCAACAGGAACCACAACAACAACCTCCAACCACACAAACAACTCAATCTTGAAGTTGTGGAGGATCTCATAAGAAAATTATGTAAATAGTTAGAATATGAAAGAACTGTTGTATCAGAGTAAAACCGCAATACATCATACGATCTATGATACATCGTGTTATAAAGATAAGAAGAAATACTTCCTCAGTTCTTATTTATTGCGCATGAAACCAGGTTCGCCCTAAAAATGTTTTTTTTTCTTTACGAAAACATATTTATAGATGATAAATAATGTCTGTTCGGGCTGTTGCAGTTAGATCTCGATCTACAGAGAATGTGACGGACTGTGTCTCCGGACTAGGACGGGAAGCTCCGCTCTGGGTTCCAGATTCAGCTAGTGCGTCCTGCCAGGAGTGCAGTAAAATATTCTCTTTTCTGGTCAGGCGACACCACTGCAGGTGGGGAGAAAGTTAGTACTTAAAATGTGTCCTCAATACAAATTTTGAATCTCAAATGTATGATGAAATTGTAATGCTTATTTTTTGGAAAACGTTGAGTTAAGGGACTGTAAGCGTAAATTCAAGTGACCCTCCATGCAAAGATGACAAAGCCCAATTTACAACGGTTTCCTTAAAAGCTTTATCTGATCTAAAATGTGGAAGATATCGCCTTTTTTCTGACTCAGAAAATTTTTTACTTCTATGAATTTCTCCATTACTTCTTATAAACATGACATGCGCATTTCACTTTCGCAGAGAAACCGCAAATGAAAATGGACAGTTTGAATAAATAAGAACATTGATATCTAATTCATACTTGATCAGATAAAGCTTTTGAGGATACTGTTGTAAATCGGGTATTGCCATCTTTGCATGGAGGGCCACTTGAAATTACGCTTACAGTCAACTTTATTGTGGATTTGACCAACATCAACGCCAAATTTTAATCATAATTTTTCTTTTATCTTAGGAGCTGTGGTCGTCTTCTGTGTAGTCCCTGTTCTAGCTACACATCTCCCCTACAGTATCTAAACTGGGTTATCGCTAGGGTATGTTTATCCTGTAAAGAAAACCTAGATTCACCCTCCAGACCTCAACGCAGATCCAGGAGTCTTACGGGCATCTCAACTCAAGGAATTCACAAATATTGCGCAATTTTTATTTTAAACCGCTTTTCGTGGATTTTACCTTTCTCAGGTCATTAACCGCGTTAAAAAATACATTTCGTAATATTTGATTGATTTAGAGGAGAATATATCTAAGCTTGTCAGAGAAATGCAGATGGAATCATTCAGACAAAGGAAGAGTAACCAGCAATACCTTAATTTTCTAGATAATATAATTGTTCTGAAATCCATTGATAACCAAGGAGTCTTCAAAGTTAACTTCAGTTTTCGCAACCAAGTCTCACAACGTCAAATTAACGTTTTGTGAAACAATTGGAATTGTTTTGGTTGAAAAATATTTTGAATTTCAACAAATGGAGGCTTATTTAAATTCTCAAAGTAACAGAAGTTCTTTCTACCAATCTTCTTATTTTTAATTACTCATATTTATGCTTGGTTGAATGATCAGGAGTTTGGAAGGTCTAAGGTCGGATTCCCCTATATCCTCCTTACCTAGAGAAATCCTCTCCAAAATTTTAAACCTTCTCGGACACTCAGACAAGAAGGTTTGCAGGAGTGTTTCACAGTTCTGGATGCAGGTAGGAGATTATGACAGATTTGATTAAATAACGTCGACAATTGTTTTGAATGATAAGAACACATTAGAAACCATTGTACGACACTGGCACACGGTGTAATGGAATTGTACTAATAAATATCCAATTAATCGTAAAGTTCCGAATTGGTTAAAAGTGTTCTCTATCTGTAGAATGCAGAACTTCAAAGTAGGATATATATTTTGATGTTTTTTTACATCAGTCCATTAGAATGGGAAGCTAGTTTTGAACTATCTAATTCATATATTATCAAATATGAACTATCTCTTGTTTTCAGGATATAATTTCAGAGCTATGACCCCTTCTTGATCAATCAAATATTTTCTTTTTAATGAGTGTACGAGAACTGAAATGTTATTTGTAAAGGGTAACCCCACATTTAGGAGCCTTAAGCCATCCCCACTAATATGATTTGATTTGATTTGATTTGATTTAATGGAATCAAAACTTGATCGGTTTCATGTTCATTGCTAATTTAAACTTTCATCATATCACTTTTATTTTCAGGTTATTGAAACTTCTAGTTTCTATAGGGAAAGTTCAGTTCATTTCAAGGATATTAGTCCAGAGAGATTTAAACAAGAGTCAGAGATATTTAATTCAGCACAGTTTGATAACTTTAGATTTAGGAATGTCATTGTCAAATATAAACATTAAGTTTGGTTTTCTTCGAGTGTTTACGTTAAAAACTGTCGATTTATAGGAATAGCCTTCTTACTTAGTAATATCTCTTTCCTGAATTAGTAAGTAGGAAGTTCCTAAAACTATGATAGATTGATTAATTGTTGGTAATAGTTATCATTTATTCACTTCAATTTTGGGGTGTGGGTGTCGGACTGTCCCTTAAAGAATGATTTGATTTGATTAGTTTCAAAAGAAGACTTGATATTTTCAATGTCATTTCACTAGTCGGTTAACACTGTCTCCGAACTTCAAAGTCTGGGAGGAGATAGGAGACAGGATAAAAATCTTTGAACTCTTCGAATGCGAAATAACCGAGCGCGAGCTGACCTACATCCTTCTGAGTCTGCGAAACCTACGAGGATTAGCTGTAGTCAACTGTAGAGATGTTTTCATGTCCGGGACGTTTCTCTCCAGTCTACCGGAGAAGGAAGAGGTTTATAGAAACTTAAACCAGCTCCGATCCTTGAAACTAGACAATAATAAATACTTGAGTGATGTTCTTCTCATGAGGATTACAGAGGCTGCTCCGAACCTTAAAAGTCTAAGGTAAGAAACAGTATAAAAAATTATTCAAATCCTTTTTTGTTTTGTTAGTTTACTGTTTAATCCTTTTGTTTAGCTTGTCAGGATGCAATATAATGAATGATGCCGGGATCTACTTGAAGCACTACCCTGAGTCCCAGGAGATACACGCTAGTCCGTCCGTTCTTACCTGGAGGATCCTTGTCAAGGTTGTGCAGAAGTTGGCCTCCACCCTCACCTCCTTAGATATCTCCAAGAATACCGGCGTCGACCTCTTAGTAAGTAGAAAAACCATTCTTCTTAGATGAGCTGGATTTGTTCTTTGCATTCTTTAAAAATCAATCGACCACCACCTTCTTCAAACATCGTTTAATTTAGATTTTTAGGGTGATTTTCTTGGGAAAGAAATTTTATTTTTGTCAAAAGGTTCAAAGTCTAGAGCGGGATTAGTAAACAGGTCGATTAATAATTATTTGATTGAAAATTGTACATCTGTTTGGTTTCCAGAACAATTCGAATCCATCCTTTGAAACGATGATTTTAGATTCGCATTTGGTGCTTCGCAGCTGAGTTGATTGAAAGCTTTGATAACTTTAATATTTTTGCATTAAATATTCTGTTGTAGATGCTTGCAGCAGTTTATGGACTCAACCTAACCAAGCTCAATATTTTATCCTGTGGGTCCGTAACACAGCCGGGACTGATGAGGATTCTTATCTCCAATCCAAATCTGAGAACGCTTAACCTCGCCTGCTGCCGTCGCGTATTCTCCGGTCTCCCTGACGGAACAGTCACCATCTTCAATGAAATGAAAGTTAACGAAATCAATCTCTCTCAGCTCTCTATCCCGTACTTCAGATCTATTGGAACATTGAAAGGATTGAAGAGTTTGGAGATTAATGAGTTGGATTCTCCGGGTTCGGAGATACTGAAAGGATTGGAGGGTCTTGAGACAACTTCTCTTTTAACCTTGAAAGCGAGATGTCTCGGAGTTCCAGTTCAGGAAAGAAAAAAAATACAACTTGAAGAAGTACAAATATTGTTCAATTTTTTTTAATCGTAAACAGCTTTTCGTGGATTTTACCGTCCTCGATGTACCAGTTATGTATATGTTTCTTATTAAAGACGGATTTTCTTCTTCAAAGACATTTGTAATTTTTTTCTCTCGGTTCAGGATTTAACCGAGGTTATAATGAAGAAGGATTTCTCCAGGTTACGTAGACTAGACTTGAGCATTGGAGGAGATAATACAGTTACAGATAAACTCGTACAGGTGAGGAGATACTTATTTAAATGTGAGACATAAATCATTGCTGTTTTCACATTTTTGATTTAGGTTATATGCTCCAAGATGCAAGGTTTGACTCATTTAAACCTCTCCAACAATCCTCGAATCTCCGATATCGGGACTCTCGGTCTCTCCTTGGAGAACCCGGCCTCCAACTCCGTCTTAGAGATGAAGGAGCTTATGTACAAGAAGAACAAGATCCCTCTGGGTTCGCGGCAGGAGAATGAGATCAGGTTGGCTGGACTCAGACGGGAGATTATGACTGAGTCCCTGCTGGAGGACGGTATGCTAGAGTCAGGACTGTTTCTTCTCTCCCGTCTCCAGGAGCTTAATCTGAGTCTCACCAGTGTATCCAGCCTTACACTCAAGCTTGGAGTAAATGCTCCGGATCTGCGAAGTTTCTGTCTAGATAACTGCTCTGCTATCGACGACTCTGGTCTATATGATTTCGCCATTCGTCACTCGCACCTAGAGAAACTGCAGCTTGGTTCAACCAGGGTAACGGATACAGGACTTATTTCCTGCCTGTCCTGTCTACCTAGACTTGTTCATCTGGATATATCATCCTGTCAGGACGTGACCAGTGCAGGTGAGCTTTTTAATTAACGATTTTAATTGAGTTTCCGTGCATCGTTATTCCTCAATTTTAACAAAATTACCTTAAATACATTTATATGGTATAAGTTACCAACTGACAACTGTTTCAATGCCTCTTAAAAGAAAAATGAATTTATTTGAACTTAGCACTTTTTCCAAGATAAAGCTATATACTTGATAAAGCTATATACTTGATAAAGCTATATACTTGATAAAGCTATATACTTGATAAAGCTATATACTTGATAAAGCTATATACTTGATAAAGCTATATACTTGATAAAGCTATATACTTGATAAAGCTATATACTTGATAAAGCTATATACTTGATAAAGTAACCTTTGTAAATTCGAATATCTTGGATGTTAATGTAAATGTTGAATTGTAATACCTAGGATTGCGAGCCGTTGGCCAGGTTTCTCCTCAGATAGAAACCCTTCTTCTCTCCAACTGTTCGAATATAAGTGTTGAGGCTGCTAGGACGGTTGAACTATCTCTACCCAACCTCAAACATATTCAAACTCTTGGCCTTCTTAGTGAACGCAGGGTATTTTTTAAAACTATTTTAGTTTTTTTCATAAAAAAAAATAATATTAATTAGTTTTTTTTTTAATATTTCAGGCTTTTCCAAGTCACTACAACTCTCAGGCTCCTCCTCCACCGCCACCACCACGAAGAAACTAGTCTCTCACCCCTCTTCGTCAACCTAGAAACTTCATCCATCAACCTTTCTTATTCCTACAGTTCAAGTCCTTCATTATTGATACATCCAAGAACACTTCCTTAATCCACCCTACTCCTACGCTTTAGTTAGATCTCCTAAATACCCTCTTGACCCTTCCCTAGCCCATCCTGCTCCTCCAGTTCAAGTCAGATCTCATAATACCTCCCTAGAACCTCCCTTAACCCATCCTGCTCCTCCAGTTCAAGTCAGATCACATAATACCTCCCTAGAACCTCCCTTAACCGATCCTGCTCCTCCAGTTCAAGCCAGATCTCATAATACCTCCCTAAAACCCCTCCAACCCATCCTACTTCTTATCCTTCAAATTAGATCTTATAAATACCTCTTTAGAACCCCTCCAACACATCCTTCTCCTCCAGTTCAAGTCAGATATTATAAATACCTCCCTATAACCTTCCTAAATCCATCCTACTTCTCCAGTTCAAATCGGATCTCATAAATACCTCAGTAGAACCCTCCATAGCTTATCCTACTTCTCCAGTTGAAGTTGATCTCCCCCCCTCCCCAACCCATCCTACTCCTCCAGTACAAAATGGCGCTACAAGATATTAACTCAAATTATTTAATATCAATTTATAGAGATACAAGAATTTTGGAAGATCGGGGGTAAAATTAAAAATTAAAAATTAAAAAGCAGTTTGTCATCCTCCTTCATACTTTTTACCCTAAAATTTGCGTATTTTCCCCCAATTCTTCCAATACAACGTACCCTAAAAAAATATGCACTGCACCCCTGAGATTGTAAATACTTTTCAGAAGTAATTTTATTGTGGCTTATGAACTTAGTCAACCTTAATGCATAATACGCACGCAAACTTTGTACTTTCCACTTGCTAGCTAAAAAAAACTTAAATTTACAAAATATATTATTATAAAGTTTTATTGGTAGTTACTGATATTTGTATTTGTTTAAACAATTCAACCTTGTATTAAAAACTAATCGGGAATTCCTGAAATAGTTAACCTTCATGAAATCAAGTACAGTATTGTAAATAATCAAATGTATTACTCCTTTTATCAATCATATTCTTACATTTGGATAAATATTCCATTAATAAAAGTAACTATTTCACAGACATAATATAACTATGAAATTAAATATTTCACAAAGATGCATAAAAATTCATTTTCCCATTGACCGTTTTTATTTCAATAAAATGTTTTTTAAGTCAAGCTATATATGTTGTTATTGTTTTTTGTTTCGATTTATTTAAAACCTGAGAGATTCAAGACAATTTTTATTTGAATTTTAGAAAAATGGCGCACAAGCGCGCGAGCATAAGCCACGAGTCTGGGCCGAGTAAACGTGTTAATACTGCTCCGGGGGGTAACGGAGACTCTGAGTCCAGTAGATCCTCCGTCAAGTTTATCAATTTTACCAAGTCTGGGGGTAAAGAGTCATACCATCAAACCGACTCAAGGTCAGCCAGGCTTGATTATTACAGTAAATGTAATTTATAGTGATTAAACATTTTTAGAATGGCATGTCCGATTCACAAGGATGTCCCTGAAAGGACGAAGAAAATATAACTTTTTTCTATCTTTTTTTCTATAGTGACTGCGGGTATTTGCAGCAGAGACAATGATGAAAATTGTTAATATTGTTAATATTAACATTTAACCCAGGAATATTCCTCGTTACTCAGATTAAGGTCACATTTGTGAATTAAGGTCACATTAAGGTTCACATTTGTGAATTGAACATACCCCTCTTTAAATGAAAGTTCACCTGAACAACTGTTCACAGTTCCTTGAACCGGAATAACTATTGTTGACTGATTGTAGAACACAAACAAGTGAAAAGCTAAATATAAAAACAAGATATAAAAACACTGATGAGATAATTAAACAAACAAAAAATGTATATTCCTAACGTTCTAAGGTTCTAGGGAACTTAAAAAAACTTATTTTCTTACTTTTTCAGAGAAAAGATTCCAGATATAAACCTACGGGAACACATTGATCTCAGGGATCTAGAAGCAAAGCAAAGGGTGAATATATATCATTACATAAGTCAGAAAGAAACTGTTTACAAACTTGACAATTGTCAAGACTTAAAAGCCGGATTGATAATTAAATTGTAATATTTAGTTTCTCCGACAGTTGAAGTATGCAGTTGAGAAGAAATCAGGTTTTCCGGGTATAAAGAATGATACAGACTTGCTGAGCCAATCAGCTCAGGTAGTTCAAGTCAAGTAATTCCGGGCAGAGGCGTAATCAGGGGGGGGGGCTATTGGGGCTAAGCCCCCTGGACCAGTGAAATCTATGGATTGCAAGGAGTTTTCAGGCCCCAGCGGGTGCTGAGCCCCCCCCCCCGGGCCGAATTCCTGACTGGATGGAAATATTTTACGATGTTGATCTGAGGATCAGTACTAAAATAGCACTACAGAAGATCAGTACTTAAATAGCACTACAGATGATTAGTATTCTTTCATAAAATAATTTGTTAGAAAAGGGATAAAAGATAAAATGTTGTTTATCAATGATTTAAGGGACTTCAGTTATAATTTCAAGTTACCCTCCATGTAAAGATGGCAATGTCCGATTTACAACGGTACCATAGACACATTTATCTGATAACAAATGTGAAAGATAAGTTGCTTTCTGACTCTACATCTTTAATTACTCAATTTTGCAGAGAAATGAAAAATGAAAATAAAAAAAATAAATAAAATGGATATCTAATCCATACTTGATCAGACAAAACCTTTCAAGAACAGAATTGTTAATCGGACATTGCAATCTTTGCACGGAGGGTCACTTGAAATTACGCAGACAGTCCCTTTAAAAGAGTCTGTTCTAGATCTGTAAAGTGAATCCTGCATTTGAACACACTGAGCTGAGTAGGATAGATGAACAGGATTATCCTACCTTTCTCAAGGATAGAAAACTATCCTCTAGGTCTGGATATATTTGCGAGATCAGGATACAGGTTGGAGAAAACTGATTTTTATTTATTTAGAAATTTTATTTTTTTATTAACAAGATCTGAACCAGTGAACATATTTTAACATATCATATATCTATTCAGGCATTTTTCGGATTTATTTTGAATTAGATTGGCTCAAGTTTACTTTGAACTTGTCATAATATTCAACCAGAGAGGGATGAGTATTAAACAGTGGTATTCAGATGTCTGTTAGTTTAGTTTAAACGGGAGGGAGCTGGAAAGCAAATCTTGTCTTGTATAAAAGTATTAACTTCAGAAAAAGGATATTTATAATTGTAATCTTTTATCTACGCTAAGTAAAGCTTTCCTACGATTAATTAAAATTTGATAATTATAGACAAATTATAAAAACGGAAACAAAGATCCGACACAGAAGAACGCACAGTACATACTTGGAAAGTTTAAGAACTAGTTTTTCTATAAACAAATACATAAATGTATTGTTTTCAAGGAAACTGGAATTTAAGCTTTGCAACTCACATTGCGCAGAAGATGGGATGTGATCAAAGATGACATAAAAATAAGAAGAAATGTGTTTTTTTTATCAAAGATTGAGAAAAAAACATAAATTGAAATATTAGTCTGAAAATATGGGTTAATTTATGTCACAAAAATGCAAAGATCAGTAAATTATTTGTAGTTCTCATACACCCTTGATTCTATAGTGAGACAGATATTTAATAAGTTAATGAAGTTTATTTGATATGTTTTAAATTTTAAATAAAAGTTAGGAAATTCAAAGTTATTAGATTTCACAACTTTGTTTAGGATAAAGATTATGAAGTTCAAAGTTATTAGATATAACAATTAGATATTAGAGGTCAGTTTAATTGAGTTAGATATAACAACTAGATATTAGATAAGGGTTATTCAATTAAAGAACATTAAGTTTAATTGAGATAGATATAACAACTAGATATTAGATAAGGGTTATTCAATTAAAGAACATTAAGTTTAATTGAGATAGATATAACAACTAGATATTAGATAAGAGTTATTTAATTAAAGAACATTAAGTTTAATTGAGATAGATATAACAACTAGATATTAGATAAGAGTTATTCAATTAAAGAACATTAAGTTTAATTGAGATAGATATAACAACTAGATATTAGATAAGAGTTATTAAATTAAAGAACATTAAGTTTAATTGAGATAGATATAACAACTAGATATTAGATAAGGGTTATTTAATTATAGAACATTAAGTTTAATTGAGATAGATATAAAAACTAGATATTAGATAAGGGTTATTCAATTAAAGAACATTATCCCTTGAGGTTTCTGAACTCTGATTGCTCCTTGTATATCCCAGAACTGGTTTAACTAAACTGACAGAAAGGAATTAAAAACTGATCTTCAGTCCATTGCTAATAAAGAAAACAATTACAGACTTTTGTCTAAGTCTGTAGATTTTTTCGATTTTTTTAAAACTTCAAGCATATTTAACTTTAATTAGTTCACATTTTTTATACTCTTTCCTTTCCCCTAGTACTAAAGAAGTAGGGGGAAAGGAGTTAAAATATTGCAAAATGATGCTAGATAAGTTCAATCCGAGTTAGGATATACATGGATTCAATCTACCTTCAGGACCCTTGAGGGATTAATGTTGGGTGTGGAGTGGGTTCAAGATCTCCGGGTCCTCAATCCTGCTCATCTCTCTCTCGGTAAGAATAAACTGATAAAGTTCGTCCTAAATTTGATCCATCTAAATCGTTGCGAAATCATGATTTTATAGGAATATTTACATTTTTGATGAACTTTCTTGATATACTGGGTGATAAAAAAAGAGTTTTTCTTTAAAGCATTTTTAAAACTTTGTATTCAATCTTTGCTGCTAATATTTTTTTTACATTTTTTTCTGTGATTTTTATTCCTGTAAATTAATATATTTCTTGTGTGTTTTTTGAGATTTAGTTAATTTTATTCAGACGGTCTAAAAACTAAATTTTCTTTAGTTATTTTACTACACAAATATTATAAAGTTAAAAACCAATGCTCATTAAGCTAATTGTCATGTTTATTGAGTCAAGTGTAAACTATGCCTACTGATCAGGAAATATTCTTCGGGTTGGGTTTCTCGGTGAGTAAACCTGGAGCTAGAGACAGAGCAAGTGAGAACGTGATGAGAACACTAAGATCCAAGGAGGTAAATAATACAAATCAATTCTATCCATTCATATTAGAAAACATAATCGGCTGTGAAGGTTCATTGAAGCAGGAAAATGAATTAAAGCATCATGAGAATTTTGTTTTAATGATCATGGATTGGCCGGAAGATTAATTATTGGTTTGAAGATCAAGGGTTGGTTAGAAGATCAAGGATTGGCTGGAAAATCAAGGATTGCTTTTAATACCAATTATTGGTTAGAAAATAAAGGATTGGTTGTAAGATCAATGATTTGTTTGATGATCAAGATAATGATTGATTGGATGATTGTGCGGTTAGAAGCTTTATGATTGATTGGAATTGGTTGGGAAATCAATGGTTTGGTTGGAAGATCAAGTATTGGTTAGAAGCCTAATGATTGGTTAGGAAGATTAAGTCTTTGAAGTAAAATGTTGGAGTGATATCTGGATAAATAATAGGTTGAAAACTGGATTATTATCTTAATTACAGGTTTTATGTTAAGTTGTAGAAATGAAAGATTTGGAAATGATCAAGAATTGTATTGAATAAGAATGAATGATCAAGGATTCAATTAAATAAGAACGAATGAGCAGTGATTAAATATAATAAGAATGAATGATCCAGGATTGAATAAAATAAGAATGAATGATCCAGGATTGAATAAAATAAGAATGAATGATCCAAGGATTGAATAAAATATGAATGAATGATCCAAGGATTGAATAAATTAAGATTGAATGATCAAGGATTGCATAAAATAAGAATGAATGATCCGAGGATTGAAAGATTGAATGATCAATAATAAAATAAAAAAGAATGAATGATCAAAGATTAAATAAAATAAGAATGAATAATCCAGGATTGGTTTTGAAGTCTAATTAATTAATGAATTAACCAATAACAATGACAGGTTGATCATGATCATGAATTGTTGAATAATCAATTCTCTGATATTAAGATCTGTGTTGTGCCTATGCAGAGAAGATGGCGGGATAAAAACTATCCTGAATTAGTTCTTGCAACTTCAATTGATGCTAAGTAAGTTATCAATAGTTGTTTCTAAAGCTTTTTAAAAAGATATCGAAAGAGTAAGCAATCTCCCCCCCCCCCCCCCCNTCAACTTACAACACTTAGTACTGAACCCAGATGTCTTTTCCCTGCTTATGTCATAAACATTTTATCATGAGTGGGGGCAGGTTTTTGTAAAAATGATATGATAGAGAGAAAAAACTTCTTCTAAAATTGTCTGATCTAATTATTTTCCCCCCAGAATTGATATTCCGCCGTTTTACCAACCTCCGCCCGGAACAGAGGCGCATACGAGGATGAAGAACTTTGGTCAGAAGAAACTTGAATCTAAGAGGAGTATGCTCCAAGAGAAGAAAACAAATCCTGCTCTAGGTTAGTCAATATATTAAAGCAAGTGCTAAATTTTCATATTTCTGGTCGATATTTGATCCCTCTTTTGGAACCTCTTTATCTATAATTAACAATTGCTGTTGTTTCAGCCAGTACTTTACTTCTTTGCTCCTTCATAATTCATATGATACATTCATGCGTATGTAATGCAAAGCATTTTGTTTAGTTTGATTTGATAGCTGAATTTATGTAGTGTATATTGTCTAGAATATTCTACACCAATTCAGATCAGTTTTCATAAAAGAAATATAAGAACCTTTCACTGAAACATTCATGTTGTTTTTCAGGTTTCCAAAATGTTGCTCACATGGGTCCTCCCTGCTCTGGCAAGCCTCTGGAAAACTTTGTGATCCTGCTGAACGATGAGAACGCTGTATGTGTGATGAACTCCTCAGCGCAGTTCTGCAAGATGTCCGTGGACTACTTCTTCGAGAAGCCGAGTGGAACATCCAATGATTTTATTGTAACCTTGTTTATCGAGGGTCAGCCTGTGGCTGACGCGAAGGCTCCAAAGAAGATGTTGAAGCAGATAGTTACCGAGAGAGCGCTGCAATGTTTGGATATGTTCTGTCATATTGTTGTTACGAACAAGGAGCTGATACAGAACTGTACAACAGTTTCTAGGTTAGGCTTTTTTATTGACAATCTTTATTAAAGTTTTCCTTCTTCAAAGAATAATAAAAGCGACTCTGTTAACATATATTGAAGAAAATCATCTTGCTATTTCTCTGTTAAGATTTCTCTCGCTCAGACGAAATAGAGAAATGCGTCAGAAATAGCCTTTAAATTTTCTCTTGTGAACTTAAGGCTTACTCAAAACAACGTTGTCAATTCCTTTGCAACACTTTTGCTTTTTTTTCTTTTTTGTAAAATTACTTTATTTCCTTTTTGCGTCATAATTCTCATTTTTTGTTAGTCCCAGTCCTTTTTCACAAAATACATGAATCTAATTATTTGTTGCAGAATTTCTGATCTTAAACCATCATTGGGAAAGTAAATGAAAATGAGAGAAATTTTAGAAATTTTTATTTTTGTATTCAGGAGTGATATTAAAGGGAATCAGGCGAGCACTAGTGCCGCCAGGGAGGATGGTAGTATCGGAGGTATTGGAGCAAGGATGATGAAAATGATGGGATGGACAGAGGGAGGTGGAATTGGAGATAGATTCAAGGTAACAGGGAAATAAATAAAAAAAATTACGTTTACGGAGGGCCAAGGGGGACAATTAGTTTAAAGGATTATCGTGTAGAGTGGTAACGCATATTTTTGAATCTTAATTACACATTTCTTCCCCCCCCCCCTCCCCCAAAGTTAATATAACTATTCTAAATCTTTAATTAAGATTCAATTCTCAATAATTTCAATTCCTTAAATAATTCGTAAAAAGATAAAATTTATCTCTGCTTTGGTTGGTCGTATTTAACTATTCTAGTCTTGTTTCTCCAAACCTGAACTAGAATAAACAAATTGACTAAATGATTTATTTTTCAAGATGAAACGTGAGATTATAAAAGTGGACAACGAGAGCATGAACAGGGAAGGGTTCGGGAGCAAGGCTATCGACAGCGACAATATTACCAGGGAGGAGGCGGAGGAGATTGTTAAACAATACGCAAACTCGGACAGGATTGACGACCTTGTGTTCGCGAGTGAACTGAATTTTGACGAGAGAAAGGAGGTTCGGTATATGGCGAAAAGGTTTAATCTTTTGGAGAAAATGATCGCTGTTCCCAATGGACGGGTAGGTTTTTTTGTTTGTTATTAAACTTATCATTTTATGTCGCCAGAAAAATTTATATAGTATATAGTTCCAAGATCTTGATTTTAAACTTCTCACAGAAACAAATCTGAAGAACGGAGAAGTGTCGACTCAGACCGAAATTTATTAATCAATAATTTGGAAATGACATAGGACCAACATTAACTCACGTTTTTAGATATAAATGTGTGATATGAAATTGTTGTAACTGAGCGACAAATGTATAGAAAAAAATCATTTACAAATTGTAAACCATTTGGTGATATTTGTAATAAAAAGAAACTACTATAATCCCACGTGTTGTATGGTTACCACTGTCCGCATTACACATAAACTCCGTCAAGGAATTCTGTCTGCGCCACAAACTCAAACTATATATTTACTACATATGATCTGTTAACCTAATGGTGTAAACCTTTTATATTTTAAAAGTAGATTATTTTATCAGAATTCTAAATTGAAATACTTAAGGTCTACGACCATGGGTTTGCTAAGATCTACGGAGTAGAAAATCAGAGTTTGTGGCAAAGACTAATCCCTTTTTTATTTTAGGGCAAGAGAGTGTTCATGGTTTTATCTAAGAAGATTGACTCTGACTTGATTATAGAACAGCTGGAGCGTGAGGGTCAGTTCGGAAAGTATCAGCTGATTAAACCTGCTGGGTGAGTATTTACAATAACATTACATAAAAGTCCCTCACTCAAATATATTTCTTAAAGCCAAGGGTTTATCACGTATAAAGAACTGAACAGTGAATATTGTAATTTTCGAGGTTTTTAAATTCACTGGCAAAGCAAACACATTTGTTCATGTGAAGCTGATTTTAATAGATTTCTCTTTTTTGAAAAGCAGGTGTACTAACCGTAAACTAGTATAGTCAATTTGCATTTATTGTTTGCTTTCTCGGTAAATAATTTGCCCCAAATCCTTGTTTTAAAGCACTACTAACATACAAGTTTTGTTTTGTTTAGGGGTGATGCGCGAGTAGTGTCAAGATTCCTAAATTTCCAACATCTCCGGAAAACTCAAGGTTTTCCAGTGGAGCTCCAGGTCTCAAACACAGGAAGGAGAAACCAGGTGAACTGGAGGGATAATGAGAAATCCTCTGATGACTACAGGCAGAGTACAACCTTTGACAAGTACGGAAATGTGGATACCTGTGATGAATCTGTCAGGTTCAAGATTGAGAATGCGACCCAGTGTATAAATCCTGGTACGGGTTGGAGCAACAGTATGAGTAATATGGAAGGTGGTTGGAACTCCGGGAGCAGGAATTACAGTAGGTTACCAGGACTCATGGATAATCCAGTTTTTGTCGGAGGAATGAATAATCAGAACAGAGGAGGAGGATCCAGTGCTGGAACTAACAACTCAGGACTTGGAAGAGGAATGAATAATTCAGGATTCGGGAGAGGGACGCACAACCAAGGATTTAGATCGGGAAATAATACTGCGGACATGGGAGGTGGAATAAACGATTATGAATTCAGGGGAGGAATGAACAATTCAATGATGGGATCAGGAATGAACAATTCAATGATTGGACCAGGAATGAACGATCCAATGATGGGATCAGGAATGAACAATCCAATGATGCGATCAGGAATGGACAATCCAATGATGGGTTCAGGAATGAACAATCCAATGATGCGATCAGGAATGGACAATCCAATGATGGGTTCAGGAATGAACAATCCCATGATGGAATCAGGAATGAACAATCCCATGATGGGATCAGGAATGAATAATCCCTTGAGGGGATCAGGAATGAATAATCCCATGAGGGGATCAGGAATGAATAATCCCATGAGGGGATCAGGAATGAATAATCCCATGATGGGATCAGAAATGAACAATCCCATGAGGGGATCAGGAATGAATAATCCCATGAAGGGATTTGGAATGAATAACGCTGGTATGGGCTCCGAGTTTGGAGCAGGCCCTAGAGGAAGAGGAATGAGCAATCGTGGATTTGGACGGGGCATAAATCAACCAACTTTTGGAAACCACGGATTTGGAATGAACTATGGTCGAAGATAATATATATAGTAGATATGTAACAGCTTTTGATTTTAACATCTTCCTGTTCTGTTATATTTAAACAATTGTGGAGAGGTTTTAGGATTGTAAATGTTTTCAAAATTCTCTTTAAGTCACAAACTAAGTTCACAAAACAAAACTTAACTGGAGTTTCAGAAATTGATTTCTGAGTTTCATTAAAAATGTATGCACAAGTCAAAAACTAAACAAGTTTTTGCGTTTATTTACAATCCTAAACTTAATGTTTAACTTAAATTAAATGTAAACTTTTACGTATTTTTGAACTGATAAACATGTTAAAATATTAAACCAAGAATTTTACAAGAAAACATGTAAATTATAAAGTGAAATCATAAATTTAATAATGATAAATAAACTCCTAGTTCAATGAGAATTAAATGCTAAGACAGTTTTTATAGATTCTGAATATTTGTTTTCAGCTTTGCGCTAATAATTGAGACAATCGTAATGGTATTCACACTTCACAGTTCTGAGCTTTTGAAACAAATTCTGAAGTTATTGTTTTAAACCAAAAATAAACCAATCTTGAATTTATTGTTTTGAACCAAAAAATTGATTCGATTAAATAGCGGCTTCACCAAAAATGCAGATAGGGAAAAGACCTTATTCCAGATTAATAACAATACTTAACCTTCCTTGATTAACATTTAACATACACATCTATGGAAGGTCACTTGAACTTATTTCTACAGGCTTTTTCAAGACTTACTGTTCGTACAGTATACTATATGACCACATTTATCTACTATTGGAATCAGTGGCGCACATTAAAAGTCCAAATTTAGAGAATTGAAAGCTAATTCTTAATCTGTAGACGCATCTAGTCGTAACATTGTCATTAAGAAAGCAACTAAAGAATTTGAAAACTTCAGATCTAACCCAACAGTGGAGTTCTGAAACCGTTAACAACTTTAATTACAGTAAACAAACAGTTTGTATCAACAATTTATTTCTGAATATTAAATACATTTTAGCTAGTTACAAGAAGACTGATTTTTGTACTTTTCTTATAGCATCTTATTAAATGCACCTTATTAAAGCAGTGGAACCAATAGAAACATGAAACTACCGGATATATTCATGGGAATCTTAATTAGAAAACCATGAATACTGTCGATTAAAATATAGTAAAATATGCGGCCACTGCAGCTGCGAGGAATGATGAAAAGACGAAAATAAAGTCAATAATTGGCGGCCAACGATCCGGAGCATAGTTCTGCGGTTCATCCTTCACCTTTGTTTTTCTAATGGCAATAACTTCCTCACATTCGAACTCAGAATCTGTATTTCCGACAAATCGTCGCTGACGAACAGCAACTTGTTGTCCATGGACATCTTCCGATTCGGTTTCACTCTCTTCGTCGGACGAATGAAGGTTATCGGTAAACTCACTGTCCGCGGACGAATCATAATCACTGTAATCATACTCGTCCGACTCTCGTCCTGATTCCGACATGATGAATTCACTGAAGAGCAAAGTTGTCTGAGGAAACTTTGATTTCGTCGACAGCTGCCAGTCGATCTATTTCCATCTGAGTGTTGGCAATATCACGGAGAGCATATTGAAGAACTTTTAATAATTCTTCTCCTTCCAACACAGATCTGAAATAGGATTATATTAGGATTTCTTAAGAATGATTTAGGGTTTATTTTTGTTGATAACATTTTTTCTTGTAATTTTATTTTTTTTAAGAAAGATCATATATCAAAATTTATCAAAATACGCCAATTCTACTGAACTCTGGTTAATCACTGTATCTGGACCTGTTTAATTCTTGTTCTACAAGTTCACTCTCTCCCTCTAATAGAGCTATACTGGCAGCCTGTAGACTAGATGTAGAATCCTCACTGGGCAAACTCTCAATTAGAACCTAAATGTATTATTCATTAGCTAGGTCTAAGGTATAAGGATTAGGACAGAACATATACAGTGTGACCTACAAAACAACATATTTTCTTCAAAGTAAAAGAAATGACGACCTCTCCTTGACTTAAGATAATTTTAAATAATTTTAAACGATAACTCGAAATGAAGATAGTCTTTGATTCAGTTCTTAGAATCTACTTAGATCCGCCCTGTAGATCCGGATCCAGGAAGCCAAAACGTTGCGATCCAACGGATCCGGATCCTGTCTATAAATCTTTTCATTTATCGATTCACCAGAAAAGGTTTTAATATTTATTTATAAAATCAAATTAAACATTAGTTAAAGAAGATGTAAATACAAGTATTTTCAAGGAACTTTAATTTAGAGATTATATATTCCCCATTCACAAATCATGTTAGGTACTTTCACAAAGGATTTTTCACAAGTGGCAACTTCCCAAGCGACAACTTCCAAAGTCTGCCCGAGCCGCAGCGCTCGGCCCCCAGCCTATTCTACGCTCGGCCCCCTAGCCGCAGCGCTCGGTCCCCGTTGCAGCCTACGGCGCCTCAGTGGGTATAACCTAACCTTTGGGATCTTGCCACTTGAGAACATACCCTTGGGAAGTTGCCACTTGGGAAAAATATTTTCGGAAAGTACCTAACAAATGAACCTTTGTCGATGAGAAATGATAAAGATATCCTAACTTGTATTTCTAATAATCATCAATTTCAGTTTCTCTATAAAAAGTGAATTGTAAAACTTTAGAAGTATGCAAGAATCTTAGAAAAAAATCTCTTCTCAAAATAGGAAAACGATATCTTTCTTATCATTACTCAGATAGAGGGTTAAGAGGTATCAGCTAACTCTTAAAATGATAGCTATCACCAGTCCCTTTAATGATCTACAAACCTCGATATCCTTGGCTGTTCTCGCTATTAGTTGTGAAAACAGCTTCGTGTGATCATTATCGCCAGAAATCTAAAATCACGATACTAATTAGCTACTTAATAGAACCCATAAAAACGCGATTAATAAAATAATTTTACGATGCTGTATTCTATAATAAAAGCATATTTTTTCGAAACATTAATCTGGGAATTTATAAATATTAAAAAAAATAAAGTAAAATCAAAAGATCAAAAAAAAAACATAGATTACATAACTAAGAATTATCGAATATGTGTTCCCTTAAGAACAGTTTGTTGACACATGATAAGGAATGGGAAACCATAGAAATTCCTTAATCAATGAAATCAGAGGTTTTTAACACAGATAAATCATGAAAAGAGATATAGAAATAAATTTTACAATGAAAATACATTAAATGCTTTATAAAAATCTTCAAAGTATGTAACCTGACTCGAGGTATATATTCTGAACAGAACTAAGATTTAAGGAAAATACAAAATGATTTTACTTAAAATTAAGTACAAAATAGGGGTTCTCAAAAATTTCATGCCAAAAAAAGCGTTCAAAATTCCAGATATCTTTATGGAGGGAAGGTTCATATCATTTTAAGAATTAAAAAAAAAAGGTTTTGGATGATCTGGGGACACCATGGCAAATTTGGACAAAAATATTAGCATGAACCGAACTTCTCGCGGAAAAATGATTTTCAAAAATGGGGGAGTTGTTTGTTCAAGAACGGGTAAATTTGTTATGTCGAGGTGGGGGTCACTTCCCCTGTACAACGAATACACTGATATAAAATTATCTTAGGTGTTAAAAAGAACTGAAAATTATATGAGATGTACAAATCCATCACACAGCCTGTAGCTCCCATAATATACCTGCTGAATTATTCCAATACTATTACAAAGATTGTCTGCTTGATGATTAACAGCCTCCTGCAGCTGAGTTAGTCTGTCAGCCATCCTCCGTTCAGGATTTACAGACAAATCTTGGAAAGGCTTTCTTGATATTTTCGGTTTTCAGACAACATTGAGCATGCGCAGTGTGCGGCACGGAAATTAAAAACAGGGAGTTTAAAAGTTCAAACTCACAAATTTTTCTGACATTTTTTTTTCTTGACAAAAGCTAATTTTAGTTAATTTAAATAAGATATTAATTTTGGATTTTTGTTCATCCCTTAATAATAAAACCAAACCAAATATGATAGCAGCATACAGCTATACAAGACCAAATTGACAAAAGTTATTTGGCAACGAAACATTTAAGCCAACATGTAAACAAAAGAAGTGTAATTCTTGCTGTCAAGTTTGAATAGATAGCAGAGCTAAAGCTCAAGCTTCTTGTCAAGATTTTTTGAAATTTTGTCACTAAAAGGTTGCCAGGCCAACTTGTTATAGACAAAATGGAGTCATCGGGTGAAGATGAATATTACGATGATTCGAACGAACCTACTGTGGACGAAGTTGAAGAACTGGTTGAACGAATATTAATGTCTCCTCGGGTTTCTGTACGAGAGGATGATAGTCCTACTCCGTCTGATAACGAATCTGGAATGGAGACGTATGATCGAACCCTTCCCGGACAACATTCATATCTGGGAAGTGTGAGGGAATTATCTGGAAGAACTATTCTGGATGAAAATGAAATAATAACGTTACCTCTGGTATCGATTCGAGGTGAACATTGCAGCTTTTCGTTGCTCATTTTCAATCGATTGCCTCTTATAACTCTGTTCAGAACTTCTATAGAATCTAGACCACTCCATTCATATTGTGGCGTGTCTGCTTCACAATAGTGCCCTTCAGGGGCGTATTCGGGGGGTAAAAGAAATGACGACCTCTCCTTGACTTAAGATAATTTTAAATAATTTTAAACGATAACTCGAAATGAAGATAGTCTTTGATTCAGTTCTTAGAATCTACTTAGATCCGCCCTGTAGANATAAGATTCTTTGAAAATATACTTTATTATTTAGGGTTAGGTTAGGTTAAGACACTTTCTGGGCCGAGCACTGCGGCTAGGACAGGATGTTGATATTTTTTTTTCTAGCTGTGACATATTAAAAGAATATTATTATTTACTACCCGGAAGTTATAACAGACTAATATTAATAATTGACCGTTTGTAAATCCTGTTGCTAAGTAATTACTTTATTTTTTACCAATAATTTGATAGTTAAAAATAAACTATGACAGAAAGGACTAGAAGATAGTCATCCCCTGTATTAGAGTCACTAAATTTTTAAATGTAGGTTTTGTTTTGATGCCGGGACAGATCTTCCCACTCACCCTGTTCCATCCCTCTGGTATCTCGCAAATGAGAACATTGATCAACTCAACCAAAACATTCGGCGTGATCACAATGGGGATCGATCCCAGCAAATGCAGCGGAGAGATCGGAACTACGGCGGAGGTTTTCGAATACCAAGATGTTGAGGATGTAAACTCTGTAGAGTTTAAAATAAAGGCCCGAGGTCGGCAGAGGTTCAAAGTAGTCTCAGTTCGGAGACAGATAAATGGAACCCTAGAGGGTTCGGTTATCATGATCTCTGATAATCCTCTTCCGAATCCTCTTGGAATGCTTAGGTTTGTTTCTTTGAAATATATCTGACTAGACAATTTCTTTTAAAATTGTCAATGTAATTGTTAAGAAATGTCCTAGGGGAGTTCAGTTGTTTTAGTAGTGCGCTTTGGCTTCTTAGGGTTTTCACTTTACTAGCTTGGAATTAAATTGACAAAATTTAAATATAAGTTGTAACAAATGTACAAAATAAAAAATTTATTTTTGAAGGTTAACTTTTTTCTGTATTACTAGACTGAAGAGCTCAGATCGACAGTTTGAGTGCGATTTTATTCCTGTAAATTTAACCTCTGGATCAGGGGATGGTTTAGCTGCTCCTGGAGATAATGGAGAGGAAGGTTCCGCTGTCCCTGGAGATGATGGAGGACGTGTTGAGATGCGTGTTATTGTTAGCTATCCTAAGAAAAGTCTAGCCAATCTTTCTCCCTTTCCTACCTGGGTTTACCAGATGTACGAAACTCAGGTTAGAGCGGATTTTATTACTCAAGGGTCCTTCAGACTCCAGAGGGGTCGATACATTTTCAATAAGATTAACTGATATTAAGACATTGCGTTGTTAGCTCATTGGGTATTAAACATTATTGGATATTAAACTTTTATTGAAAATTAAATGGAATATCTGTATCCTCAATTCTCCGATTGCAGAACCTTGTATCCCGTGTAAGATCTGAGCTGGGACGGTCTGGTATGGGAGGACGGAGTGTCAAGGTTCCGATGGATCCGGAGGAATTATCCTGGTGGGTGGCCGCCAACCTTCCTCTTCTGGAGACACAGAAATCATATATTCTCAGGTTAGTTTTTTAAATTTATATTTGAGTTATGGTTAGTCTTGATAAATCTTGTTTTATCATTTACTTTTTTTCCACAGAAAAATAAAAATCTCAACTAATATGGTGTATTTTTAGTTTAAAATCTATCGTGCAGAGATTAAGAGCGGAACTCAGTTTCCTCACTCAGTGTCGGGTCCTTGTTTGCTCCAGGTGCAGCACTCATCTAGCAAACCAGTCGGATATATTCTCTATGTCTGAGGATGGTCCTCAGGCCGCCTTTGTAAACCTTGGCGGTCATCTTCACGAGACCTTGACTCTGTACCAGGCCCGGAACCTGAAACTGGTTGGAACTCCGTCAACTGAGTACAGTTGGTTCCCAGGGTATGCCTGGACTATACTGGAGTGTGGAACATGTCATAATCATATCGGATGGAAATTTACAGCGGCCAAGAGTAGTTTGAAACCTGTCAAATTTTATGGGTTTTCAGGAAAATCAATCATTCCGACCATAAGGACCGCGGAAACAGGGGTTCCGGCTGACGGAGGAATTCGCACCGACCTTGCCGACTTAAACTCAGAAGAGAGTGGCGTAGTTGTGATCTGATTCTGGCGAGTGAAAGATTTTTTATAAGTGATATTTCTTCCAGTTAAAACTACATTTATATTATTACAATTTCAGATGTAATTAGGTAAAAATGTCGGAAAGAAATCGAGGAAGGTCTGGGTTTAGCTCCGCTATGGGATCTGTTAAACGCACCGACAGCAGTAGTACATCACCTTCATCTCCATCTCCCTCCTTGGACTCGTCCAACTCCAGCCTGGACCAGGTGGTTCACAGGGTACCTGGAGCTAGGATTAATGGGGGAGCTCGATCTGACTCTTTGGTTCTACTTAACGGAGAACAGATTGAAGCAGTTTATCAGGATATTGCATTTCTCTGTCCATTTACAGCAGGTAGAAGATAGTTCAACAATGGACATAAAACTAGCATATCCGTGTTCAACGTTTAAACTTTTTTAAATTTAAAATGCTTTTACAAAATCAAATCAAAATCGAAGTTCCTCAGAGTATTTAAAAATGCAGTCATTTTGAAGAAGACTTAAGACTATTTTTTTCTATTTCCTACTCTAGTCATTTTCAGGAACTGGACCAATCCGAGGGACCCTGTCAGTTACCAACTACAGATTATATTTTCAGGAACTGGACCAATCCGAGGGACCCTGTCAGTTACCAACTACAGATTATATTTTCAGGAACTGGACCAATCCGAGGGACCCTGTCAGTTACCAACTACAGATTATATTTTCAGGAACTAGACCAATGAGGGACCCTGTCAGTTACCAACTACAGATTATATTTTCAGGAACTGGACCAATCCGAGGGACCCTGTCAGTTACCAACTACAGATTATATTTTCGTCCAATACAGACCGAGAATCCAATCATTCTAGGTGAGCAATCATTTACTCAATTTAATTATTATTTCCTGAAATTGTAAATAAATAAATAAAAAAACTGGGACCGAATTGAGTGGATTGGAGAGGTAGGTCACTTAATTACCTACCTCTGGTTCAATTCCCGAATCCCCGATTCAACATCTAATGAATCTTTAACTTTGAATCGATGATTCAAGATTTGAACCTGCGGCGGTGGGCAGTTTAATGACGTAGCTCCAATTTATTTTATTCGGTCTCTGAACACTTGGCACGAACTCTAATTTTGTAATCCCTATATCTAAATATCTATGCAATCTGCTGGTTTTTAACATTTTATATTTCAATCTTTGACTGTTTGTTTTAGCAAAATTCAAAGCTTGAAATATCTAAACTTAACACGAGGTTACAAAGATATAAGGATTATAAAATTGAAGTTTGTAGCAAGTGTTGAGTGCGTTTGTTTTTGGTATCATTATCTAATATGATTATGTATTGAACAATTTGAAGTTATATTTGATATGTCCTCCACTGATGTTATTTCTCATTTACATTTGTTTACAATGTTTAAATTTGCTTTGACCCTGACTCAGTATCTTCAATATTTGTATTATACAATATATATATAAGTAAAGATAAATTGTGTGAGTTTTAAGAATATTTATCAAGTATTTAGATTTATTTCACAATGTGCTGCAAGCAGAATAATTTCTATTGTTTACGGACAAAACCCTCAAAATAATAAGTTATGTAATCTATTCAATTTTATAAAGTTCTCAAGGTTAGGGGAGGAACAGGGGGAGGGGGGGGTTATTTTTATTTCTTCTTCCCAGGAAGTTTTTACTGGTTTAGGCCATAAATTGTGAATTAGAAATATTTTGTATCCCCCCCCCCCCCACGGCCCCGGTCAACATTGCATGTATAATAAATATGTTCATTTGTTAATATCTAAGTTGTATGAAGGGAATGCCATGTTTCGTAACATATTTGTAATAAGTTCAACCAATTGGGTTCAATCTCTCTTATCTCTGCCTATCAGTTATCCTGCCTTTCCAAAAAATTCTTGATGAAGTAAAAATCTACTTCCACGAATTATACAATTTCCTAAGTGGTATATCCCCAAAATCTACTCCCACGAATTATACAATTTCCTAAGTGGTATATCCCCAAAATGTATAATTTCCTAAGTGGTATATCCCCAAAATGTATAATTTCCCAATAAGAGGCACGTCCTTTACTAAACTGAACCTTTACTATTTAAACTGAAGAAATCTTTTCTGTTTCAGTCTTAATTGTCATTTGGGGAAAAAACTCTTGGAAATTGTATATTTGGAATTTTGCGTTTTAAGAAATTGAACATTTGGGGAGTTGCTTCTTTAAAAACTGTACATTTGGGGAGTTGCTTCTTTAAAAATTGTACATTTGGGGAGTTGCTTCTTTAAAAACTGTACATTTGGGAAGATATCTCTTAAGAAATTGTATCTATAAGATTCTTTGAAAATATACATCTTAGAAGTTACATCTTTGTAATTTCAAATTTGGGTAGGTACCTTTTAGGAAGTTGTAGAGTTGGGAAGTCAACTCATAGGAAATTGTACATTTGGGAAGTTGCCACTTGCGAAAATGGCTTTGGGATAATAACTAACATTGTTATCTACCTAGATATACCCCTGGGGTTTGTGAGCCGGATTGAGAAGGTTGGCGGAGCTCGAACCCCCGGAGACAATTACGGTTTGGAGATATTCTGCCGGGATATTAGAAACCTCAGGTTCGCCCTGAGTAAAGGAGATGGACACCCTCGGAAAGATATTTTTGAATGTCTATCTCTCAACGCGTTTCCTGCGTCGAATGGGAATAAACTATTCGCCTATAGATTCAGACATAAAGAGGCAAGTAAATATAATATTAAAATTAATCCATTTTTTTTTATTATTCTTGTTTTTGATCTAAAACCTTTCATGCAAGTTTGGACTTGTATTTCCTTGGCTGGTACACCATTTTTCGCTCCCCCGGCATATATTTTAATGTCAATAATATTTTCCTAATATTCATGATCATGTTTTAGGTTCGAAGTCCTTACACTGCAGACGGTTGGAGTGTGTATAATCCAAGAGCGGAGATGAGAAGACAAGGATTACCAAATGAAAGCTGGGCAATTTCAAATATTAATGAGAAATATGGACTCTGTGATACTTATCCTACACTTCTAGCCTTACCTAGCATATTACAGGTTACTCCTAATTTTCTGATCATAATTGTCATAACAATTTTAAAGGGACTGTTTGGGTAATTTACATGCAAAGATGGCATTGCGCGATTCACAACCTTACCCATGAAACCTGTATCTGATCAATAATGTGGAAGATATTGTTGTTTTTACTAGGTGTAAAAGTTTTCATTTGTATAAATTCCTATATACTTTCCTGCAGTAAAAATGCGCCGCAAGTCACTTATGTATAGAAACCACAATTGAAAATAATCAGTTCACAAAATTATTAACATTGATGTCTAATTTAATCTTTATCAGACAACGTCTTCCAGGGTATCGTTGAGAATCGGGTGTTGACCAAAAAACAGCAAGAATTTAGAATATGGTGAAGTGCGCCATTTTTATTTGCAACCTTTTTCACATACTTTTTTTGCAACAAACTCTGATTTTATATGCAACCCAATTTCATAGACCTTAAATATTTCATACTATGAATTCTGTTAGAAATGTCAAAGGTTTACATCATCAGGTTTCAAAGAATTAGGGATTTGGAAATTATAGTTTGTGGCAAAGACTCATTTTCTTTGTAATCAATCTTTAATCTATATTTCTTGTTTTTATATTATTATACCTTTAAGCAGTATCCAAATGTACAAAAAAAACTTAGATTTCTGTTTGATGATAAATGACAAAGGTTGTATCAAAACCAAGACTGAACGTCTTATGAACTTTTAAACATGTGGTCTGTCAACTGAAAATCGTCTTAGATTTCTGTTTGATGATAAATGACAAAGGTTGTATCAAAACCAAGACTGAACGTCTTATGAACTTTTAAACATGTGGTCTGTCAACTTTATATCTTCAAAATTGACGGAGATATTAAATATTTGAATGATTTCGTTGTTATTTGTTAAAGTAGAATCGAACAGATTTCTTAATATGTCTGTAGAATTGTTTTAAGTGGAGTACTACAAAATCTTGTTGACGTGATAATGCCTCGCGGAACAAACAAAAACGATATAGAAGTCTTCACTATATTCCCATGTGTATTGGGACATACTAGATATTTATATACTTACAGTGATAACCAGAAAGAATATGAAGTCGACTTATACACTTTATTTATGACTTTAATAGTCCAATTATCATGAGGCACAGCAATTGTGCATTGTAAACAGACCCATTTTACTTAACAAGTGATTTTATAACTTACTAGTCAAACAATTTTCTTCGTAACAACATAAAATGTACTTCTGTTTTGTATTGATGTCGTCTTCCTATTCTGCAGTTTTCTGGTTATCACTGTATAAAAATATATCTAGTAGTAGGTACTTGGTAAATTATACTTCTATATATATATATTTATATTAATATATATATATATATTAATACCTTTAAGCAGTATCCAAATGTACAAAAAAAGGTGTTTTTTTTCTATTAAGATTTAAGGGGGAAGGGCAACCTCGTTTTTTGTAAATTAGCACTTAAAACATATTTTTTTTTCTTTTTTTCTTTTTTTTTCCCTACAATATGCATTATATTAATATAATAATCTATAATTATGGGTTGCGCAAAGCTTGGAAAACCAAGTGAATACAGTAATAAACAACAAGCAAATTTTACAAAAAAAAGTTCACATTTTTGAAATCTTTTTTTCTAGTTTTTGCAATATATTTTTTACATATTTTGTATTCTAGAATGAGGAAATATATGAGGTGGCCAAGTTCCGATCTAGGGGAAGAATACCTACTTTATCTTGGATACATTCACAAAGGTTTGTAAAAGAAAACGATTATAAAATAATATTTATTCACTATTCAATTCATTTAACATTAAGAATAATTAGATATAGTCGCGTTGTTTGATAAAATAAGAATAAATATTCAATTTTGCTTCGAGCAAATCTAAAAAGCTGTCACGACTCTACATTGAACAATTAAATGACAACCTTTGAACTCTGAAGATTTTACTTTTCGATTTACGAATGGATTAAGACGAACTTTGCTTCTTCAATTTGTACTCAATATTTAGAGTAAAATGTCGATATCTGATAAAAGTAACACTTCTCTGCACAAAGTATGTATACGAGAGCTACTTAGTCCCTCCATTTAACGGATATTTATGCAATTATACCGGGGACTAGAATCTTTGATTGGCGGTCTAGCAATGACGTCGGATGTCCGTTGTAGATTGTTGATTTCGCGCGTTTTTCGTTATTGTTAACGGTATAAATAATGTCGATTAAAAACTTTTTGTAGACTATTGAATAACCAAGTGGAAATAAGCAAAAATACAAATCGTAAGACCTCACTTCATTATTGATTTAGTATAGTCACTTCAATTTTGGGGTGTGGGTGTAGGACGTCCCTAAAAGAATGATTTGATTTGATTTGCCGGGGATTTAAATATCATTTTATTCCATAATTTATTAGAAAAGCTCAACATTGTTTTATTGATTATATTTTAGTTTAGCGACAATTACCCGTTGTTCCCAACCTTTAACTGGTATGGCGGGTAAGCGGAGTACCTACGACGAGAAGATGATTTCCCTAATTATGGACGCCAACGCACAGTCCCACCGTATATATATTTACGACGCTAGACCAAAGGTGAACGCTGTGGCGAATATGGCGAAGGGTGGCGGATACGAGAATGAAGATACGTACAGTAATGCCGAGTTTGTTTTTCTGGATATTCACAATATTCATGTTATGAGGGAGAGTTTAAGAAAGGTAAGGTTATCAAATATTAAAAATGACCAACGTTTTTTCTATAAATAAATTTTATGCATTTTTCATGAAAACATTTTAGAGCGGTCGATAAGGGTTATAATTTAAATTTCTAACTTTTCATAAACCGCGGTAGTCCCCATAATAATATAAAAAACTAAAGCACTTTTCGACTATAGAATAGTTATGATTTAAACAATACAATAAACATTGAGACAGAATAATTGTGCAGTGTGCACGGTGTGCCTGAGTGCCTCACTTAATAAGCTAATTTAAAAGAATTAAGATGCTACTTTTTAACTAATTGCTTTTAAACATCATTAAAACACCTATTAGTGCTATATTGTTGTCTTCCCGATCCATAGTTTTGTGGGGTTCACTGTACGATTTTCTGTATGTCTTGGGGAAATTATCTTCAATATCATCACCAATTTTTATTTTAACCCAGTCTTGATAATTCTCCCCCAGATTATTTAATTAAAACTAATTTCAATGATTGTTGATAATAATCTCCATTATGTTCTTTAAGGTTAAGGAGATGTGCTTCCCTGTGATAGATGATTCAAGATGGTTGAGTAATCTTGAAGCAACTCATTGGTTGGATCATGTCAAGCAGATTCTAGCCGGGGCAGTCAAGATAACCGACAAGGTAAGGAATTTAGTATGCTTAGAAGGACTGTAAGCGTAATGTCAAGTGACCCTCCATTCTAACATGGCATTTTCCGATTAACTGCAACGGTACCAAAAATACCATAATCTGATAAACGTTTCTTCTGAGTCTTAAAGTGTTAAAGTCTAATAATTTCTCCTGGTTGCTTAAAGCAAGGAATTCACGAGTCACTTTTGACAAATGAAAATAAACAGTTTAAAGAAATAAAAAACATGGATATCTAGTTCATACTTGATCAGAGAACGCATTCAAGGGTACTGTTGTAAATCGGACAATGCCACCTTTGCATAGAGGGTCACTTGAAATTACGTTTTCACTCAATTTTAGATGTACTGTACAACCTTAACATTAGCTTTCGGAACCAGGCATTTTTATTAATATTAATATGTGCCTTGATGTTAGAGATTATCAGTACGCAAACCAGATAAAATTCTACGATCATCATTATCCTCATTTTTACTCTAAAAAAGCTCCTACGGATTAATCAAAAAAGAAAATTTATGTTTACACCCCTGTACACAATTTCTTATTGGAAGTGTTTCTTAGACTAAAATTCCCAGAAAGAGCAACTGCGAACAGGCGAAAAATGAATTAAGAATGAAGAAAGTTAATAATTAATAATTAAGTATTCAGAGTGTCAAACGATCTTTCAATGGGGATATTTTTGTTTAGGTTGAAAATCATAAAACGAGTGTAGTTGTACACTGCAGTGATGGTTGGGATAGAACTACCCAGCTCACAGCTCTCTCTATGCTCCTCCTCGACTCCTACTACAGAACCCTCCAGGGGTTCCAGGTTCTGGTGGAGAAGGAGTGGTTGAGCTTTGGTCACAAATTCGGAGATAGGATTGGACATGGAGATGATAAACATAATGATGCTGACAGATCTCCAGTCTTTCTCCAGTTTATAGATTGTGTTTGGCAGGTTAGAGGTTTTTAATTATTAGCTGTGGAATCCAGCTTTGGTAGGAAAATAAACTTTCTCTTCGATTTTACTTTGATTCTGTAAACCATTCTAAGAACATTTCCATGGTTCTTCCGAGGTCCCCAAAGAAAATTGTAAGGAAATCTGTCAGTGGGTTCATGTATTATGATCGGACATACAAACAAACAAACGTTACAACTTAATATGTTTTGATATCCACAATTTCTTAGATACTCAAAGGGCACATATGACAAATTTAGGTTTTAGGTTTCACTAAAAATTATCCCAAAAATTTACTTTGTATTACATAAATTTGGTAATTAATTTTTTATTCTGTAGTTGGTTTATGATTTAGTGAAAACAGTTATTTTATAAAGCAACATCTGTTTTTAATCATGATATTTTACATATCACTGAAAATGTAATAAAATGTTAGATAACCAACTCCCTGTAGAATTAAAAATATTTTGGGTTTACTTTCTTCATTTTTTATGCAAACCTTATAGATTAGATGATTATCACCTTTGTGCAGTTTTCAGTCCTGGTTAGGATCCTTTTTAATTTAATTTAATTTAAATGTGATGAAAACGGTAAAAAAGGGGGCCAAATCTAAGAAAACTGACATTTATAAAAAACAATATTTTTAGTCTATATTTGTAATTTTTACTGTAAACTTTATAGATTCGATGATTATCACCTTTTTGCAGTTTTCAGTCCTGGCAAACTAAGATCTCTATTGGCCAATATTTCAAACCCCATTTTCTCAAAAATGGATGCTCATCAAGTTTGTTTAAAACATGTTTTGAAATCGGGTAATCCTGTAATTTTGGGGGTAATTTTTAGTAAAACTTTAATTTGTCATGTGTGAGGGGCTGGGATTTTGAAAATAAATGCATGTAAATAAAATTATAATTTTTAGGTAACCCAGCAATTTCCAAATGCTTTTGAATTCAACGAGTTTTTTCTGACAACTATCCTTGATCATCTTTACTCCGGACTCTTCGGTACATTCTTATATAACTCCGACAAGGAGCGGAGAGAGAACAGGGTTGTGTCTGAAACCCATTCTCTCTGGTCCTTTATCAACACCCACCCGAGGAAGTACCTAAACCCAATGTACTGCTCGGACCTGGATAACAAGATGACCTTGTTCCCCGTGGCGTCCATTCGCTACATGAAGTTCTGGAAGAGCTACTATTGTCGCTGGAACCCTAGGATGCGTCCTCAGGACTCGGTTCATCTCCGCCACGGTCAACTTCTAATACTCCGAGATCAGCTCCAGGCCAAGGTTGATAACCTCAACAGGGAGCTTGAAGCTAAATCTAGAAAGTAAGAGAAGATATTTTATTAAAATCATATTGGAATCATCGCTACAACATTTCCCGTATACATAGATAGTTTTTTCACAATAAATAATACACTTATATCATGGATAGAAATTGTCGGGTAGTCTGGCAATAACATCGGATGTCTGCTGTACAAAAAAATGCAATTGTAGAATTATAGTTACCTTACATTTTCAAAATTCAAATGGTTAGATAAGAATCATTAATTCAATGACAATACTTTCAATTTTTATTTTTAATACGATACAAGCTATAAGACCTAACATCATGCTTAAAATAGTAAATTCATTTCGAATTTGGGGGGTGGATATTAGGACTTCCTAACAGTCTGATTTGATTTTATTATTATCACCTTTTAAGAATTTAAACTAGCCAAGTAAACGACCCTAGAATGATTGAAGAAACAAACTATTATTATTTTTTTCTTTTTATTTGTAGAAATTATTGATTTTTGTTTATTAAAGGAATGGTGATCATGTTCCTTCACAAAAAAGTTCTGATAGTTCACATCCAAGCCTTTCATCCAGGTTAAACATTTTAGAACAAAGGAACTGATAACTTGCCTCAAACTCTGGTTTTCAAATCCTTATATCTGTGCAACCTGATGTCGTAGACCCTCTAATTATGAACATTCCTTGATCTCATAGCCAAAGTGTTAAAAATTCAACCATCAGTTTTCAAAGTTATTGGGATTAGAACATTAGAGCCTAAGCAATTTTTTTGGAAATGTTTTAATATATTCGATATAAAATAAATAATAGATTTATTTAGGTTTGAGAGCATCAACATATAACCCTGTATTCTCAACCCAGATTGTGTGGAGTTTTGAAAACTGTTATCAGATTCCTCAAGAGATTATATATTGCACAAATTGCGCATTTCTGAACTAGTAAATTGGAATACCAGTACTAATATCATTATCGTTGCCTTATTTTCTTATCCACCAAGTCGAAATCCTGAGTTTTATACATTCAACTTTAGTTAAAAAAAATAGTCCACTTGATTACAGAAAACTCTACTTAAGTCTTCTTTGTATAAATTCTGGACTCCTCCCAACCCTCCCCCTGTATTGTTGTGATATACTCTGGCAGTGGTAGAATATTTATGTAAAATATTATTATTATATGGTTCTATATAGATTTATTAATGTCGTTTTTCAAGCTCTAGTTTTGCTCTCGGTAAATATATCTATAATTCCTATTGATTATTACACCCCGATGTACAATTACAGAGACCAGAAATGTTGTCTGAACCTTGTTCAACAAGATATTGAAGATCTGGAGAATAAAGTTAAAATGAAGATGACTAGAACAGATATTGGAGGAATAAGACGGGATAGTGGATACTCACCAGCTAAAGATGATTCCTTGAGAATATTCTCACCATCAGTAAAGGTAATCTTAGTTTTAAGTCAGAGGGAAACAGTCTTAAGTCAGGGGGAAACAGTCTCAAGTCAGGGCTAACAGTCTCAAGTCAGGGGGAAACAGTCTCAAGTCAGGGGGAAACAGTCTTAAGTCAGGGGGAAACAGTCTTAAGTCAGGGGGAAACAGTCTCAAGTCAGGGCTAACAGTCTCAAGTCAGGGCGAACAGTCTTAAGTCAGGGCTAACAGTCTCAAGTCAGGGGGAAACAGTCTTAAGTCAGGGGGAAACAGTCTCAAGTCAGGGCTAACAGTCTCAAGTCAGGGGGAAACAGTCTCAAGTCAGGGCTAACAGTCTTAAGTCAGGGCTAACAGTCTCAAATCAGGGGGAAACAGTCTTAAGTCAGGGGGAAACAGTCTCAAGTCAGGGCTAACAGTCTCAAGTCAGGGCGAACAGTCTTAAGTCAGGGCTAACAGTCTCAAGTCAGGGGTAACAGTCTCAAGTCAGGGGGAAACAGTCTCAAGTCAGGGGGAAACAGTCTCAAGTCAAGGGAAAACAGTCTCAAGTCAGGGCTAACAGTCTCAAGTCAGGGCTAACAGTCTTAAGTCAGGGGGAAACAGTCTTACGTCAGGGATAACAGTCTCAAGTCAAGGGAAAACAGTCTCAAGTCAGGGCTAACAGTTTCAAGTCAGGGGGAAACAGTCTCAAGTCAGGGGGAAACAGTCTCAAGTCAGGGCTAACGGTCTCGTCAGGGCTAACAGTTTCAAGTCAGGGGGAAACAGTCTCAAGTCAGGGCTAACAGTTTCAAGTCAGGGGGAAATAGTCTCAAGTCAAGGGAAAACAGTCTCAAGTCAGGGGTAACAGTCTGAAGTCAAGGGAAAACATTCTCAAGTCAGGGCTAACAGTTTCAAGTCAGGGGGAAACAGTCTCAAGGGAGGGCTAACAGTCTCAAGTCAGGGGGAAACAGTCTCAAGTCAGGAGGAAGCAGTATCAAGTCAGGGAGAAAAACGTTTCAAACAGGGGTCATGCAATAGGAGTTCCTGCTGCGAAAATCAATTATAAATAAGGTTTTTAAAATCTTTTCTGATTCTGAGTAGGTCACTTTTGAATAGCCGAACTGCTTTAGAATTATCATAAGTTTAGTTGTTTTTCTTTTTTTTCTGATATACATAATTGATATCGTCTATAAACAAGTTATTAGTTCTGTAAATTTCTTTCTTATTGTAAGAATCTGAATTAAGTTGTTCAGAAGTACAGGACGGATTTGTTTCAGGATGATACTCCAGATAGTGGAGATAGTGGAGTAGGATCCCCGTCGCCTCATTCTACATCAAGAGAATGGGGCCGGAGATTCTTCCGCCGGAAAGAACTTCGCCGCCTTCGGGAGATTCAAAGAAATTTGGAAGATTTGGCGGCGGTTCATGGCGGAGAGGTTTTCTTTCAATATACTCCTCGTATTCATCCAAATCTATCTCAGCTCAAAGATATGAATAAGGTATAAAAAAGAAAATCTTAAATTAATCTAATCTTGGTGGGATGATATATTCTATGTTGGCAGTCTTGTTTGGGGCTTTTCCAGCTCGAATGATTTTAAAATATTCAAGATTTTTATACAGTTTTTTTTTTGTAGACAAGACTGCATATTCCAATGAAAGAAGTTGACGCCCCCATCTGCCGATGTTCGACTGAGCCGGGTCAATTTTTACAAAGAACCGGTCTCACTCCTCAAGATATATTCTCCGCCCGACTCCCGGAGATGCCTTCCGGCGGACTTGCTGTTCTCAGCAACGGTCTTGCATTTGATCTGCACCGGTTGTGTAAAACCAATCCGGAGCAGGGTTCAGCGGTTGTAAAGTTTATTTTTCATTTCCTCGAGTTAAATATTCCTCCAGGTCTGTATAATCTAGCTGTTGAGGAAACACTAAAAAGTATTGCGGAGAACCTGGAGTACATCACTTCTTGTCAGGATGAAAAGGAGAAGGAAACGTTTCTCTTTGCTCCCTTCCTGGTTCCCAAGGAGGTGTCGGAGATTGGTTCCATAGAAGAGGAGCTGGAGCAGGAGGAAGATCTTTACCTCTCTATTTCTCCGGAACCTTCTTTAACAAACTATAATCACTCAGTATCGAGTTCTGGAGACGAGCCCCTGGTTGTACCAAACCAATATGTGGGAATAAAGATTGAGAATGACGGCTATGTTGAAACCTTTGAAATCTCAACACTAGAAGACGTTATCAGTGCTAATGCAGAACTTACTCATCTGGAGGAACCTAACAATATTAAGACTGAGGAACAAGAAGAGTTAACATCATATCTCCAGGTAGTTTGATTAGATTAGATATAATTTTATAGGATTTTTTTAAATAATCAAACTTAGCTTTTAAAGGCTTTTCTTCCTTAGAAATATATAAGCCTTTTCTTCCTTAGAAATATATAAGCCTTTTCTTCCTTAGAAATATATAAGCCTTTTCTTCCTTAGAAATATATAAGCCATTTCTTTCTTAGAAATATCAAAGCCATTTCTTTCTTAGAAATATCAAAGCCATTTCTTTCTTAGAAATATCAAAGCCTTTTCTTTCTTAGAAATATCAAAGCCATTTCTTTCTTAGAAATATATAAGCCTTTTGTTCCTTAGAAATATCAAAGCCATTTCTTCCTTAGAAATATATAAGCCTTTTGTTCCTTAGAAATATCAAAGCCATTTCTTTCTTAGAAATATATAAGCCTTTTCTTCCTTAGAAATATCAAAGCCATTTCTTTCTTAGAAATATATAAGCCTTTTCTTCCTGAGAAATATATAAGCCTTTTCTTCCTTAGAAATATATAAGCCTTTTCTTCCTTAGATAATTAGATAATATTTGAAGTGTAGATGATCCTAATAAATATTGTTGTGTTATCAGGATGGATACGGTTTAATTCATTCCGAGGATGGAGATTTCTCGGTCACTGCAACCTTGCTAAGTTTACCGGAAGGAATAGTGGACACTGACGGTACTGAGATCGAACCCGAACCTCCAAAGCCTGTCAGGGTATCAGAGTTAGAATCCATGAAGTCTCCGGGTTCCGAAGCAAAGAAAAGATCTAGAACAAGAGATGTTCAAATACCATCTAGGTTCAGAGATTTTACTGCCGGGACTACTTCTAAGAGGAAAAAGCAATAATATCTTGATTGACCAGAAGCAGTTGATATACGTACAAATTAAAAATCGTCTTTTTTAATTCTCAGTAGAATAAATGGATTTTTATTTTAATATTATCAAGAGAAAATTTAAAGTAATATAAGTTCAAAATTGGACAATTCAAGAAAATTTATAGACTTCTAATCTTATAAGGGCTTGGAGTAAAAAATCCCAGAATTTTAAGTTCAATAAACTTTATTACAGTAATTTTATGTTCTTTTGTACCTTTTCTCCTTACAGTACACGATTATTTTGTATATTTTGAAAACCTTTACCTGAAAAGCATATTATGTTGAATATAAATATTTAGTTTTATGTACAAAATATATATGAATTCATATTTAACAGTGCACTAAGTATCTAAGTAATTTCCAGATGTAAGATCGTAAGGACTTAAATTGTATTTTGTTTATTGTTAAAGTACTTGACAGCTCATAAACGAAGAGACTTCGGAACCCTGGGGGTATAGGCTAAAAAAATCTAAATTTTTTTCTTAAATTTTTTAAATTCCACGGGGAACGCCGGGCACTTCAGCTAGTATGAAATAAAATATAAAAGGTTTAAGCAAAGAACCCGTAACAAGTAAGACATTTTGTAATATCTCTATAAATATTAATAGCAGCCGGTTGTATTTCTAATTGTAGGCTCATATAATTGCTTAGGAGCAGGATATGAAGTCAGATTGTCGATATCTCTTCCCGGAGACTTGGAACCTATGAAAAGTGACCTCCGCCGGCTCCGATTTTTTTATCTCCGGCCTCGTTGGACATAAACAGCCCAATTTTTTAATATATACTCCCAATGACCCCCTAGAATACGCTAAAAAAAAAGAAAAAATTCCTTAGTTTTTGATGTCAAAACAGGGTGGCAAGAATTGCGTTTTTAAATTTCTTTTTAAATGCAAAAAGTGACAAGTTCTGATCAAAAATATAGGAGCCAAAGAAAAGAGAAAATATTATTTAAATTATTATCCAACACATTGATGAGAAAAAATTTCAAAAAATTAGTTTTTAAGGGGCTACGGGATGTTTAATTTTTTTTTGGACAAATTACACTTTTTTTTTTGCATTTTCCTCCCTAATATAGATGGTGGCTTGTTCTAATTTAAAAATTAATTGCCTAGGAGCACGATATGAAGTCAGTTTGTCGATATCTCTTTCCGGAGTCTTGGAACCTCTGAAAAGTGACTTCCGTCGGCTTGATTTTTATCACCGGCCTCGTTGGAAAAAAAATAGCCCAATTTTTTAATATAGACTCCCAATGACCCCCAGAATACACTAAAAAACAGAAAAAAATTCCTCCAGTTTTAGATGCTATAACAGGGTGTCAAAAAATGCATTTTTTATTTTAAATGCCAAAGTGACAAGTTCTGATTAAAAGTATAGGAGCTAAAGAAACCAGAAAATATTATTTGCACGCCTGGTTATTAGTTCAGTCAAAGAAGAGAATTGTCCTTTTCAGCAGATCGATGCTGTACTGTAAGTTCATAGTCGATTTTGCACGTATAAGAAAGTTGACTAATTTTATCACTTGCAGATTGAATCGTCGAGATTCAAATGAAAAATGGTAATTGTTAGTAATAAGTTTACTAAAATGAAAGTCGTTGAAGAAATCTTCAAATTAGTATACATTCCAAGAAAAAGAGAAAGCATATCAAGTTTTGAAAGTTTAAATTCATACCATAAAGAAAATTAATATTCTAATCCAAAAAATTATTTAACATTCACATTTTCGGAATTAAACAGTTTCAGGGCTGATCTTTACAGTCGATCATCCGTTTGGTATAACCCTGTATATTTCGAGCCAATGTAGAAATTTTTATTATTTATTAGATTTTTTTATGAAATAATTGATGATAATATCTTTTCTTCTTGAATCTTGCCAATTTTCAGTTAGAGAAGCCGTACAACTTATTATTCATGATATCAAGAAATTAGGTATTGAATAAACCAACATTTAATAATCCTATTTGCTGTGTCGAGAGAGTGAGAAAGCTGTTTCGGGGCCCAATTTTCAGAATTTTTGAAAACAGCTGATCGGTCCAGCTCCATTCTGTCCGCCATGTCTGCTGTACTCACAGCTATCAAAGTTTTGCAGAAAGATTTTTTACACAGAACTGTAATTCTATTCTACATTACATACCAATTTATTCGTTATTATACAGCTTTCAAGGACAGAATGGGGTCTATCCTAGAGAACGATTTTTGGACCCCCCTCACCTTCTATCAATTTTGTACATGACACAGATTTAAACTATTTTCAACAAAAATATAGTAATTTTGCATTATTTCAGGGTTAGGTTAGGACAATTTCTGGGCCGAGCGCTGCGGCCAGGGCATAGTTTCAATTTCAACAATTTATAACAAAATTAGTATGTACTCATGTTAAGGTTAGGTTAGGACATTTTTGGGCCTAGCTGAGTTTATCTTTATCTTTTTCAGAACCGGCAAAATGGCTTCACGTTTTGTCAAGTCTCCCGTAGTTCAAACCACCGCTAAGAGGCAGTACGCCGCTCAGGCCGTCGCTAAAACTGAGCATGTCGTTCCAAAACCTGAAGCTCTGAAGGTTTCTACCCTGAAGAACGGAGTTATCGTCGCCTCCATCGAGAACCACGGCCCCGTCACCTCTCTGGGAGTTGTTGTTAAAGCTGGTTCCAGGAATGAGAGTTACGAGAACTCCGGTATCAGTCACATGCTCCGGGTCTCCTCAGGACTAGCAACCAAGAATAACACCGCCTTCGGTATTACTAGGAACCTGCAGCAGGCTGGAGCTGGTCTAGTTTGTACTCAGGGTAGGGAACACACCCTGTATTCGGTTCAGGTAGTATGTTCATTTGAACTATCTTTGATATTTCCTGTCTACCTTTATTCTCAACAATACAATGGTTGACTAGTTTTATCTCCGTCCTAATTACCAAGTTTCAGATAAGAATCTAATGTAAATCTAATCTAAACAAAGTTTTACAATAATGTATGTGTTAACTGTTTATAAGTCATCTCAATTTCTTGCAGTGTCGAGTTAGCCGTATACATTGTTTTTAGCTTTCAGAGATGGGATCTTTAGAATGGAAGTTATCGAGATCAATGCTCGATCCTCTATTTTTCTTAATCTCGAGACTAAACTAATCTTCTACTTGTATCCTGGAAAGTGTATAAAATTCAACCAATCAGAGTTGCGTATCAGATGCCGGAAAATTTGAAATTTGCGCGCCATTTAAGATTCATAATTAGAAACGGGAGGAACTCTCTTAATTTTGTTAAACCTGTTTTTGATTTTTCTATTCTAAATCCATCAATGAGTGGTTTAAGCAAGAAATTAAGTGTCCACATTGGATATTCGGATTAAGCAGACGAAATTAAAGGTATCCTATTCTAAAGTTCCCTACTCTGGATGTCCACCAGAGTAATTCGAACGCCCATGACCTATTCTCAAGATATTTCAATTATAAAAATGTAGATTTTTATCTTTTCTTCTATTTATTGACCATTAAACTATTAAGGGCTCTGAGAGTAACATTGTATCTTTAAGAAAAACTTCAATAAGGTTTCACCTGGTTAATGAGTTCTAAAACATTTAAACCATTAATAAAACATTTCAGTGTATTTAAGGTATTTCATAAAAAGTGTCTGAACCTTATACTACATTTCAGCCTCTATGGACTAGTAGTGGAGAAAACTAGATTTATACATGCATTTTTTATCATTTGAGGTTTAAACCCAATTAATCATTGTTTATATGTTTAATTTCTTTTTATTTGCTAATTCTACAGTGATAAATTGATCATACTATGATAATATTTAATATTTAAGTTTCGGGTTTCCTTATAATCTCACGAAAACTTGAGTTTAACGCCTGTTTTCAGAGTAAACTACACAACAAAGTTTAAATGGAATTTTCTCAAAAGTGCTCGACAGGGATTTCTAAAAATCTACATGCTAGGTCTAGACATAGTCTACTGTCAAAGCTGAGGTGAACAGTTGGAGAGATGCCATTTTTTATATTGCGCTCTAATAATTTGTAATTTACTTAAGTTATGTTTTAATTTTGATAATTACTGATGATTTTATTTTTGTAGACTACGAGAAACAACACTGACATGGCGGTGGACTACCTGACTGACATAGTGAGCAACCAGGCCTTTAAACCCTGGGAGCTGGGGGACAACCTCCCTAGGTTGAAGCTTGAGCTTGCTCAGGTTTCTCCCAGCGCTCAGGCTCTTGAACTCCTACACCTTGCATCCTTCAGGTTGGAACTTTTTCAATATCACAACTTTCAAATTAAAGATAATGAAGAGGAGGGATTTTTTTTATTTATTGTATGTTATGTTACTAGTGTAGGCTATTTTACCTATAATTGCGTTTTGTGATTTTAGTTTATTTTGATGTTGTGCAAAGGAATGCGTATTGCATACTGAATTCTAAGAGAATTTGTTCAAATTGGAAAATTTTATTTTTCGGAAAAGTACAGCACACTGGACATTTTCATTCTCAACTACTTTTGAAATCTACGAATAACCTTTGAAATTGTTTTATGTCAAATGAATTCCAAGACCTTCAGAGCATATGCGCTCTTAGTTATTTTAAGACTCGCTTTTGATATAGTTTCGGAGTATCGATTGATATTGTAAATTATACAGGACTGGACTGGGTAACTCCTTGTTCTGTGCTGGTCACAAGGTTGGATCCCACACACCTGCCCAGCTACAGCAGTTCGTTGCTAAACATTACACCACCGGTAGAACTGCAGTGGTCGGAGTAGGAGTTTCTCATGCTGCTCTTACTAAGGTAATAAATAGAGCTTTGTATTCTTTTCAAAGCAGGGGAGTATATTTTCCGAAAAAATCTATCGAGCATTTTCGTTCCTTCGCCTTCGGTCTTAATTTATGTTATTTGTTTTTCTGGTTTTTTTTATTAAATGCTTTTGTTAAATCTTCCATCTTGTTTAAACATGACTGATATATATAAATATTAAGTACTAGCTGGAGCACCCGGTGCTGTCCAGGTTTATGTTATTCAAAGATAAATAAAAAAATTAAGGTCAGTGGTAACCAGGAAACTCTGGAATAGGAAGACGACTTTGAAGCTCAAATTATGACTTTAGATAGTCCAATGAGCACGGGAAACAGAAATTGTGAAGTGTAAATAGACCCATTTCACTTCATTTTTTATTTAATTAGTGTCTAATAAAACTGTTGGCTTTATAACAACATCAAATACACTTACGTATTGCTATAAAGTCGTCTTCCTATTTCGGAGTTTTCTGTTTATGACTGTACTTACATAGAACTTATATAGTACACAAATGGGTAGTTGAGAATTGAAATGCCAATTATGAAAGGGAGGACAAATTCGGAAATCCTTTCTTAATTTGAGAAATATGGAAATGTTATTTTGACGAATTTTTTTCCTAGTACGCCGAGCTGTTGAACCTGGAGGAGGGTGCTGGACCCAGCAGCCTAGCCTCTAAGTTCAATGCTGGAGAGGAGAGGAGGGAGACTGGAGGCAGCCTCGCATACGTTGCTCTAGCTGCATCTGTTCCAGGAGCAACCAGCGTCAAGGTGAACTCATCAACAAGATGTTGACAACATAAAATAAAACAACTATGTGTAAATACTGGTTCTAATGTTATGAGTAAAATATGTTATAATGTAAACGCCCGATTTAACCCCGACATTGCTGATAAATTAGCCTCGAAGTAGAATCGTTTTGGAGTGTATTTAAACTTTAGACAGGCAATTTATATCAAAATTTGTTAAATGAACTGCAGACGTAATTTCATGTAACCACTCATTTGGAGTTGAATGTCCGATTCCCAACAGTACCCCTAAATTGCCTTTTATGATCAATGAATGAGATATCAATGTTTTTATCTTTGAAAATTGATAATTTTCAAATGTAAGTCTTTTTAGGAACAACATGAACAATGGAAAACATTTTAGAATCAATCTTTCAGCTTGATGTTCAGTTTAAGACTGAAGGGTACTGTTGTGAATCGGGCTTGTCATGCACCTACAAAGTCTACCAGTTTGGGTTTATAGGGGCTACAAAAGGTTTTTAAAAAGATTGGGGGTTTCCGCTCTTTAGTTTTGTAATTTTTACATTTATATGTTTTGATCTAGGAGGCCCTGGCCTGTATGCTTCTGCAGAGGATTCTAGGTATGGGAGCTCAGATCAAGAGAGGAAACGGACAGGGGAAACTAGCAAAAGCTGCAGCTGCTGCCTCCGCCTCAAACCACTCCGTCGGAGGTGATTATTTCATTAGTTTTCAGAATGTCGCCACAAATAATACAATTTTCTGTCTCTCTTTATTTTTTAATTCCACACAATGTTTTCTTGGTTGCTAAATTTCGCGCGTTTCAGCACATTAAACTATGTCATTTATTGAATTTATGAAAATACGCCTTTTTTATTTGCAGCTATCGGACCAATGTACAGTGACTCCGGTCTTCTTGGAGCTCTGATTGTTGCCGAGGGTGGAGCAGCTGGTAAGGTTGTATCTGCTGTTGCAGCTGCATTAAGAAGTGCATCTGTTACCGAAGCCGAGGTTGCCGCCGCCAAGAAGAACCTGATCGCTGACGTACTCTCAGTTCAGGATAATGCCGCTAGCCTCATCGAGGATATTGGAACTCAGGTATGTTGAAAATTTTTATTGCATTCCCCATGAAAAACGTTTTTACTTTTATAGGATGTTTATAACTTTTTTATTTCTAAGGGAATTATTATTCAAGTTTTCCTCATTATTTACGTAACTATTAAGATCCTTTTTGCATTTTTCTGCGTACTATCCAATTCCCCTGGATACGGGTTGGGAGAGCGCACACAGTTGTGAAAGAACAAATATGTCTGACCTAGTTAAAATTTTCACAGATTAGTGAGAAAAAAGTCTGATTTACATGAAACAATCGTTTAAATGCTAATTAATACGGTAAATTATTTATAATCAGAACAAAATTATGGCATATGCCTCCATTCTGTGATTTTAAATTGCGACGTATTTCACTTTTTCCTCCTTCCTTATTAGTGTCCTAAGGAGTTTCGCGCAGTCGGCGTAGAATTACAAGACAGAGAGAGCCTGATCTACGCCGACTGCGCTAAAATCCTCTGGGCTTCTGCCTCAGGGTTATTGTGAACGAGTTTCATATCCAAATCTAGAAAAGGCGACATCTAGTGTCCTATCTGTTATTTTAATTAATCCATGGTTAAAACTTTTAAAATACTGTTAAAATAGATTGCTAAATTTTATCATGTTTAAGGTTCTTCTTGCTGGAGATGTAATCCAGGCTAACAAGGTTCCCGAGCTCGTCAGTGGAGTCAGTGTTGCTGATGTTCAAGCCGCAGCGAAGCGTCTGGCTGGATCTAAGCTTTCTATGGGAGCTGTTGGAAACCTCTCAACCACTCCTTATGTAGACTCCCTCTAGATATGTTAATATATATAATAGCAGTGAACTTCAACGAAATAATAATTTATAAATAAAATCTAGACTTTGAAACGATATTAGTATTTATTCATAGGGGCATGTCACGTAGTTAAACATGTATGATAAGATTTAAAGTATGTCGAACTTGTTTTAATACTGAATAGTATAAATTTAGAAAAAATCTTGTAGAAAACTTTTTGGTTTTCAACGTTTTTAATTTTAAGCTGAAACATTGGATACATCTGAATTTAATTTGTTTCGGGGCCCATATTCTTTATCCGGCAGGCTTGCGTCTGCGCAGCTGTATGACGCAGCAACCTAGCTGTCCCTCTTTCCGCTAGCACATTGGTCTTGTTTATATTTTTATTTGCAAAATCTATGGAGGGAAGAAATTGCGTCAGTGTGTATACGTATACGTTATGTATTATCTTTGAGAACTACGCTCACTGGAAACATAATTAAATTATTGAAGCAAAGAAGTGGGTTGCCATAATTCATAAACTTATCAAAAAACAATATTTAATTATGCTGATATTGCTAATCCTGCAAGTGGTCCATAGCAAGGAATAGTAACGAATCGATTTTACATCCCTTAAATCGATTATTAATAATTTTGGGCAAACTTTGGTAATTTCCTTGAGATTGAGTTTTGGACCTCCCCTCGGGTTTCCTCCTGTCAATTTTGTGCATAAAGTTATAAAAAATAAATGATAATTATGTCCAAAAATCGTTCTTTAGGATAGACTCAAACTTTCTCGTCCTATTTGAACCCTAGGATATCCTGCAATATATGTTTAATCTCTTTTGTAAAATTGGAATCCTTAGAAGGATTTTAGTTTTTGCCATTAACTCAAATTTCTAATCCCTATATCTTTTAAACCTGATAATGTAATCCTTTGATATTTCAAACTTAGATTATTTGATCTATCAGAAGTCAGTGTGAATTATTTAAAGTCTCCGACATTGGGCTGTAATAAAGATATAAGGATTAGAAAATGGCATAGACTCACTTTATTCCTTTGTTGGTCTTCGAAATTCCTATTATGACAAATATTAAGTTTTGTGAATTTAACTTATAAAAATCATGGCTGTTCAATTTTAGAAAAACAATATCAAAATGGCAGTGTAGTTCTGGGTATTGGAGTAGGATGGAACTCGACGAGAACTTGGATGAGGTGTCGGGGAAGATCGTAAACTTTAACAGAGGTTTAGGATTCTTCAGCTTCGTCAAGGACGGTACGGAGCAGATATGTATGTTCCGACCAAATAAGATTCTTGTCGACGGTCAGAAGATCCCGGCTAGTAAGATAAAAAATGTTGAACAGCTTAACAAGGTAAAGGTTATAAGAGTGAACATGATAAAGGGGTAGGAGGGGGGGGGGGGGGCTCAAGAAAGGATTTTCAGCTTAACATGACACCTCCAGCAAGTTGAATCAAATTGTACGCATTTATAGTTGTGCATTAAAAGACTATAGAAATACAAATATATTGAAACTGATATTATTGTTAAAACCTGATATAGACCGAAAAATTTTAAATTGTTTGAAAAATTTGTTTGTATTAGACCTAAAAGAAAAATCGATTTTAATAAAGCCTTGGTCATAATTATCTGAATATACAATACTTCTCATTAAGCTGAATTGAATTAAACCATCAAGTGTCTGATATGGAACGGGTTAATTTCTTTTTAAGTATTTCATTTGATTTTTTTAATTACGCTCTCCTGTCAAAATGTAACTGGTTGAAAATTTACAGACACTCTTAAAACTAAATCAAAAAGTAAAATTATTGATCTTTTCATATCATTATTTCAGTATATTGTTGTCGGAGATAAAATCAGCGCTGTTATTCGAATATCTACCGAGGTTCGAGCCTATTCCATCCCGGACCGTTCTGGGACGGATGTAACCATTTCTCCGGGTTGGGTTGCAAACCAGGTCTGGAAAGGAGAGAAACCAACTGAGTCAGGACGAATTCAGACAGAAACTAAAGAGCAAGAGATTATCATTGACAATGTTCCGGGGAAAATTATATTTAATCAGATGGCAACCGGGACAGGTGAATATTATAAATAAACATTAGACGCATTATTTGCGTAGTCACAATAATATAACGTTTAAAATAGAAACCACAATTATTGCGTATCTTACACATTTAAAAGTGTTTACGCCATTTAGACATTAAAAGCAATGTTTCGACAAGTGTTGATATTTATCAATGTATTATGTATTTAGATTAAAAATGATCTGTGTCCCGAAAAAATTATTGTTTAACGAACCCAAAATGCATTCTACTAGAGTCCACATTATAGATAGTGAAACCTTTGAGCAATCCATTTTAAAATATTTAAACTCCTTAGATTTTCATGGAGCTTTAAAAAGACACAAAAAACTATAATGTTAAAAAACTGATTAATACATCAAGATACAACAAGCTATGTCATTTTGTAAATTCTAAATCGAACCAAATATTTTATTTTCAGCTCGTGGTGGTACGAGTCCAACCTTGATTGCATTTAAGAATCCAGAGGGAGAGAAGGACCTGGCAATGTTTAGGCATCCCAGATACTTCTTCTGGGAGGGGAAGAGGATCGAACCAAAGGAAACACATTCTCATTTTAAGTTTTATGACAGAAAATATGTCACTTTCAATTTTTAAAAAGGTTAAAAAAGTTTTTTTTCTTTTTTTTTGACAAAACTTCACATCTAATCAAAGTAAAAAAAGATTTAAAAAGAAAAAAAGATAGTTTAGATTTGAGAATGTTTACCTGCAGGATTACAAGAAGTGGAGTCAGGATTATCAGGTTGAAGTTCATTTCACCGCGGTTTATACTCCAGGACTAAAGGAGTTCTCCGCCAAGATCGAGGATAAAGAGAACGAGCAGGGGATGCAGGAGGAGGTGAAGTTCAACCCAAACTGGAGAGCAAAACTAGTCTGGGTCGGAGATAAACCATCAGAGGCAATGATTATGGAGGATTCAGAGAAGAAGCAAAAGTCAGAGCGTGAAGTTTTCCTTGATCTGATCCAGGGTTGCGAGTACATGACGACCAGGGTAGAAAAGATTCTAAACAAGAACCAGGGAATTCTCACACTGAGGAATATAAATGTGATTTTTCATATTGAACAATTATCAATAGATGGTCTCCAATATACTACTCAGGAGGATTTACTAAAAATCCTTCAACCCGGAGAAACTTTGTTTTGTTACGCCAAGCATGCAAATCCGCCATATAAGATAGAAAACTACTCAATCGACTACGAAGCAACTCAAGTTTGGAAAGGTCGGAGAAATCTTGGCTCCTTGACCCCTGCAGATGAGGATGGGAAAGCTAAATGTCCTATTCCTCTACCGACCGAAGCCACCCATCACGACGTGGTAGGGAGAGTTGTTGAAATCGAAAGCAATGTTATCTACGCAGTGATCAAGACGGAGGATCCAAGTTTACGAGGTCAAAAAGTTTTAATCAGTAGAAACCGGCTTTATGTGAACGGAAGTAAACTTAAGTTCAAGGATAGTCTAGCGGACATCATTTCCCTGGATGATACAATCCTATTCGACATGGTTCTAGCAAACCCGGAGCAGTCGAAGAGCACTTACAACTGGCTCGCTGTGCTATCATGGACGGGAAGTACTCCTGACAGGACGGAAATCAACGAGGAACTCGCGAAGAAAACAGAATCGTATCGAGCTAAGGTTCTTGTTTTCTATGAACAGAAAGGATTAGGATATACGGAGGGTGTTGCACAGATTATTGGTGGTCCTAATAGAATCGGAGAACGGGTCCACTTCTCCAGGGAGGGAACCTATGTGTTCGGAGCTACCATGAGAAGGGCAGATCTTGCCTACGTGCTCAAGGTAGGGGATAAGATACAGGTTGATATTACAGAACTTCCTGCACCAATTACAAAGTTTGGAGCTGAAGTGAAGTTCGTTGCCTCCCTAACATGGGTCGGTCCTGCGCCAAAAATGGATGTAAACCTTGAAGATTTCCCGTACTATGTTGGAGGAGTTATTTCACCATTTATTCTCAAACGTGGCTTAACGGAGGAATCTTTCAAGCAATTAATAAAGGGGCAGCTCCCTCCTAAAGCTGGAAAACTGTCTCCGGTTCCTGAATCCAAACCAGTCTCTCTCCCGCCCAGTATAACGGAGGGGAGAGTGGTGGAGTTGAAGAAACCTGAACCCGGAGTTGTGAGTGGAACTGAACACGGGATACTGAGGATAGATAATGGTCCCTTTGCTCAAGAAAAGGCATTTTTTAACCGTAATTCATTATACTGCTGGGGGTTCAACTGCTCCAAGGCTGACCTAATGTATCTGATAACAGAGAATGACCGACTCCGGATTGAGGTTCAGGACGGAACAAACAACAAGGCAGTTCCATTCAAGGTTACATCGGCCTGGATCGGTCCTCATCCCCACGAGAAGAACAAGGAGTCCGTGGCTATGGCCGGGAATCTGTACTTCGTCAAGTGGTTAAAAGATCACAATCTAACCGTTGAAGAGTTCCATAAGGTGGTCAGAGGAGAGATCAATCCTAAACCATTCTTCCCTCTACCCGGTGAATGCCACCAGGCCCGGCTTGCGAGTTTATTGCCCGGGCATATGGGTTCAGGTGGAGGAGCTGATGCGGGCATCCTAAGGTTGTTATCTTTATTATTATTTTAAAGAATCCTTCTAAATGTTGTTGTTCCAAAACATAAAATTGTTCCGGTTTTCCTCCTTACTTAGCACTTTCTCATTCTCAACTTAAATTTAAAGCGCTTACATTATTCATGAAAATTTGAAATATTAAAAAATATTGTTTTTAATCGGATTATTTTCAGACTGTGTCAGAACCCCGCTAACTCTAAGGACGGACGGAAAGCTCCGGAGGTTCTGTTTGAACGAGACTCCTTCTATCTCTGGAACGTATTGATAGATAAGGGAGACCTGAGCTACGTGATGAGTGAGAACGACAAGTATTTTGTCGAGGTTACAGATCTTATTGGGAAAGAAAAGAAGAAGTGGCAGACCCGACTCGGTACAACGAACATTCCTAAATTTATCGCAACTATAGTTTATGTCGGCGGGGGTCGACCGAAACCAGACAAAATAAACGAAATTTCCTCCAATAGTAATCTTCTTCAATGGTTAAAAAAGCGGAACATGGATGTTACACTGATTGAACAGTTAGTAAAAGGACAACTTCTTCCTAAGAATGAGAACGGAGAAGATGTTTTCTCCCAAGCTTATCCTGGCGGTTCGGGGAAGGATACATCCCCGTTCAATAATCCCGCCACTCCGCGTCACCTACCGTTTAATCCGCAACTTCAAGGTTTTCAAACCTCTGTCCTCAACAAGGCAATGAGCTTGACACAGAGAACTATGAGTTTACAGTCTGCTGAGGATCCTGATGTTCAAAATTTAATCCTAGACGACTCAGACGCCCAACTCGCACTTTTCCTTTCTAAAACATTAACCAACGCTATCATGATGTACCGTCAAGGTCCTGGTCCTATTGGACCTCCCCGGAAACCAGGTTCTAATGGACCCCCGCGAGGTCGGGGCCGAGGAGAAATGAGTGAGTTCTATCCTGAGGGTGGATTAAGTCGAGGATTATTGTCAGGACGTGGAGAAGGATTGTATGGATTAGCTAAACCACTATTAGATTACCCAATGAATGGTGTTGAACCACCTCCCAAGAGGAAATTTGAAGCGTGGTAGAAGCGTTTGATTTATGTGGATTGTTTATACCAGTTAGTTTTCTTATTCTTAATACTTGTTGATACTTTCAGAAACATGTAGAGATACGGAGTTTATATTGTTTTCAATATCATGCGAGATTAAAAGAATATAAACACAAGACCAGGTTAGCATTTCATAGCATTTTATACATATTTAATCTTATTATAGTCTTTTCTTTAATGTTTGTAATCTTTCTCCGTTACTGATTCAATTTCAATTTTTAAATTTATCTTTAACTTTTCCCTCTTCAATAAAATTTGATAGGGAGGGGGAGAGGAAAACTCCAAAATTTTATTTGAACTTCTCCGTTACTAAGTTCTACAATTCCCCTTTGTTCGTATTTAATTTTTCAACCTTTTCCCTTACTATTTTTACTATTAATCTTTGTGGGTAAATTATTGAAGTTTATGAAAGATATTCAATTTGAAAATTATTATTATTATTAATGTAAAAGACATCTCAATGTCTACATAAAATTGAAAGATTTATATTTAGTTTCGTCCAGTCTCATCCTGGCGGAGAATTACTATATAATGGGGGCTCCGGCCGCCGACGACGAGAACTTCTGTCTCCGTTGGAACGATTACGAGAAGAAATATGCGGAAACTTTTAGAACCCTAAGGTTTGTGACTCACAGTATAAATTATCTGACAAACCTGGCTTTCTTTTAGTTAAGTCTTTAATGGCGTCTTTTATTCAAAATGTTTGTTTAGAACTCGTAAACTTAATCTTTTAGGGAAGATGTTCACTTTGCTGACGTAACCTTAGCTTGTGAGGGGCACTCGGTGAAAGCGCACAGAATTATATTGTGCGCGTGCTCTAGTTATTTCCAGAATATCCTGAAATCCATTAATCCTGCTCAACATCCAGTCCTTCTCCTATCAGACGTTAGACTCAGTGATATGACTGCACTGATGGACTTTATATACTTTGGACAGGTTTGTTTCTTTGTTTATCCGTCCTAGAGTTAGTTTATACAATTATCCGTCCCATGGTTAGTGTATTGGTGTATCCGTCCCATGGTTAATTTAATGGTTTATCCGTCCCATGGTTACTTTATTACTTTATCCGTCCCATGATTAATTCACTGGTTCCTCAGATCCTTCCTTATCTTATCCGTCCTATGGTAAAATTAATGGTTTATCCGTCCTATGGTTAAATTGGTTTATCCGTCCCATGATTAGGTTATTGGTTTATCCGTCCCATGTTTAGTTTATTGGTTTATCCGTCCATGGTTAGTTTATTTGTTTATCCGTCCTATGGTTAATTTATTGGTTTATCCGTCCCATGGTTAGTTTATTGGTTTATCCGTCCTATGGTTAGTTTATTGGTTTATCCGTCCCATGGTTAGTTTATTGCTTTATTCGTCCCATGATTAGTTCATTGGTTTATCCGTCCCATGTTTAGGTTATTGGTTTATCCGTCCTATGTTTAGGTTATTGGTTTATCCGTCCTATGGTTAATTTATTGGTTTATCCGTCCCATGATTAGGTTATTGGTTTATCCGTCCCATGGTTAGTTTAATGGTTTATCCGTCCTATGGTCAGTTTACCGGTTTATCCGTCCCATGGTTAGTTTATTTTTGTATCCGTCCTATGGTCAGTTTATTGGTTTATCCGTCCCATGGTTAGTTTATTGGTTTATCCGTCCCATGGTTAATTTATTGGTTTATCCGTCCCATGGTTAGTTTATTGGTTTATCCGTCCCATGGTTAATTTATTGGTTTATCCGTCCTATGGTTAGTTTATTGGTTTATCCGTCCCATGGTTAGTTTATTGGTTTATCCGTGCCATGATTAATTTATTGGTTTATCCGTCCCATGTTTAGGTTATTGGTTTATCCGTCCTATGGTTAGTTTATTGGTTCATCCGTCCCATGGTTAGTTTATTGGTTTATCTGTCCCATGATTAGTTTATTGGTTTATCCGTCTCATGTTTAGGTTATTGGTTGATCCGTCCCATGTTTAGGTTATTGGTTTATCCGTCCTATGGTTAGTTTATTGGTTTATCCGTTCTATGGTCAGTTTATTGGTTTATCCGTCCCATTTAGTTTATTGGTTTATCCGTCCCATGTTTAGGTTATTGGTTTATCCAACCAATTTTAGTTTATTGGTTTATCCGTCCCATGGTTAGTTTATTGGTTTATCCGTGCCATGTTTAGGTTATTGGTTTATCCGTCTCATGGTTAGGTTATTGGTTTATCCGTCCCATGTTTAGGTTATTGGTTTATCCGTCCTATGGTTAGTTTATTGGTTTATCCGTCCCATGGTTAGTGTATTGGTTTATCCGTCCCATGATTAGGTTATTGGTTTATCCATCCCATGGTTAGTTTATTGGTTTATCCGTCCCATGGTTAGGTTATTGGTTTATCCGTCCCATGTTTAGGTTATTGGTTTATCCGTCCTATGGTTAGTTTATTGGTTTATCCGTCCCATGTTTAGTTTATTGGTTTATCCGTCCCATGGTTAGTTTATTGGTTTATCCGTCCCATGTTTAGGTTATTGGGTTATCCGTCCCATGTTTAGGTTATTGGTTTATCCGTCCCATGTTTAGGTTATTGGTTTATCCATCCCATGATTAGGTTATTGGTTTATCCATCCCATGATTAGGTTATTGGTTAATCCGTCCCATGTTTAGTTTATTGTTTTATCCGTCCAATGTTTAGGTTATTGGTTTATCCGTCCCATGATTAGGTTATTGGTTTATCCGTCCCATGGTTAGTTTAATGGTTTATCCGTCCTATGGTCAGTTTATTGATTTATCCGTCCCATGGTTAGTTTATTTTTTATCCGTCCTATGGTCAGTTTATTGGTTTATCCGTCCCATGGTTAGTGTATTGGTTTATCCCTCCCATGGATAATCATTGATTTCCGTCCAATGGACTGTAATACAAGACCGTATATTGATGTTGTATCATCACATTTTTTTTGCATTTTTTTTCAATTAATACCAGCTTTTTAAACAGAATTATTTTCTAGGTAAACATAACGCAAGATTCCTTACAATCGTTTCTTAAAGTGGCGGATAAACTGAAGATAAAAGGATTATGTGAACGTGGAACCCTTATCCCTGAGGGCGTACCTTTCCATAATACAATTACAATCCCCCTTAAGGAGGATAAATCTAAACCTACAAGTATTCTCCCTCACCCAACCTTCGAAACCTTACTCCCTCGATCTCCGTTCCTGGAGCAAACCTCCCTCTCAGGACAGATCCTACCCTCCATCCGACAAAATATTGTCAGCTCTGCCCCTCCGGCTCACCAGGCCCCAAAGAACACCCAGTCCCGAGGCACTATTAGATCCGCCGAACCTCAATACATGCTCATCTCATCTCCAAAGAAAAGCAAGTATAATATGACCGGAGGACATCCTTCTATCCTCCGAAACACCCTGATCAACAAGGATATGGGGTCTGGAGTAGAGGTGAAAGCTGAACCTTTAATGATTAACAACTCTCACTCCCAGGAGGAGGTTCCTTCAAGTGTCGCCTCCGTCTCTGTTACGGAGTTCATCACTACTGAGGTAGACTGTAGTTAGGATAAAACTTCATGATATTACTAAAGCAAGAGATTACTTGATAATTCTATCCTTATAATTCAATGCAAAGAGCAAGAATTGATATCTATTTGAAAATTTTCTTTTTTATGGCAAGGAAACAGAAATCTGTTTTAATAGAATTTTTTTTGGCCAAATCTTTCTGCGTTCTTTTCAATGGGTTGATGGAGAAAAAATTGTTTTCAGGGTGACCTGTCCCTGCCTCCGCTCCCCCACAGTATGTCAACCCAGTTTATGTTTACCTCAGACCCCTCCGGAGAACAAGGAACAGTTGCTCCTGCTCCGGCCACTCATGTAACCATACAACCAGAGAAGGATAATATTACATCTGTCACAGGGTAAGTTCAGAGTTCAACACTTTTTTTAACACCGTAATCTTTTTGGTTCAATTGCATTTTTTTTTCGTCCTTCATTTTCCAAGTTTTGGGTTTAATTGTTGGATTTAATTCAAAATATGTTAAGTTAAGTGGATTTCTTCGATTTACATTTTTGTTTCTGTTCTAGAATTGATTTATGTATTTTTAAGATCTGGATACAGTACAACAAGAGTAGTTTCCTTATCCGTCGGGAATCAAGGAAATCAAATTGATCACAACCAATCCCAGGTAGTTGATCATTATCTTTAATCAACCAATCATGATCGCACTTTATGCTAGTCTTGTGTATCTTTCAATTTCTCAAATTTGGTTAGCTTTCTTTCTTAACTCTTATTTAAATTTCATTTCTTTGCGGCTGATAAATCCTTGAATTTAGGGACGGATGGAAGATCATGAGCCCAAGGACCTGACTCCCATGCAGGATGTAGGGAACCACAGTGGTATGGGAGGGATGGGAGGCTCCCCTGAGACTCCAGGGAAAAAGGATCGGAATTCCAGAAAGCAATGTCCATACTGCAACAAAGGTATTTACTTTGTTTTAAGATTGATTTTGAAATAATCTGCCATAAGAAATAAATTATAATCTCTTGATTTATTTTTTGAACTAATATTTCTATTCTAGATTTTCATGAGATGTCCCTGAAACGACACATCAAAGATGTTCATTTTCGGAACCAAAACACTGTCGTTATCTGTCCTCAGTGCTGTAAACAGTACGCCAGTCAAAACTCGCTCTATTCGCATCTAAACCGGGTAGGAGAATAAACAAATCAAAAGTTAAAGATAAAATATAAAAAATTGATTTGTTTGGAAAAGAATTTTTACGAGAAAGAAAATCTTCAAAGAGAATTTAAATAGGGTTCTGGGATAAAATCAAAGAAACAACAATGTGGAGATATACAAAATACAATAAACAATATACAACATACAATATGCAATATATGTAATATACAACATACAATATGTAATTTATGTAATATACAATATACAATATAAATATACAATATACATTACAATATACAATATAAAATATACAATATACAATATACAATATACAATATACAATATACAATATACAATATACAATATACAATATACAATACAATATATGTAATATACAATATACAATATACAATATGCAATATGCAATATACAATATGCAATATGCAATATGCAATATGCAATATACAATATACAATATACAACATACGACATACGACATACGACATACGACATACGACATACGACATACGACATACCACTGACATACCACATACCACATACAGCTGGATTTTTTTGTCTTCGTTCTTTATTTCTAATTATTAAATGTCAATATGGATTTTGTTATCAGTAATCTGTTAAAACTGATAATATTTCTGATAATGTTCAAGCCAATAAATGAAATAATTTCAAACAAAAACAAGAATTGAAGCTTTTTACGATAGGAATTCGAGAATTAACTATTCTTGGTTTACGTTATAATGGTTTTTATTTATAGTAAATCAAAATCAAAATTTTAGTGAAGATCTTGTAATAAACATATTTTTGTATTAGGTGCACGGAGTTAAGAAAGACGACCTGCAGATGTTAACAACAACTGTGCACGGGCAGTCCCATGGTGGAGATCATGAGATGATGGTTCGGCACGACCAGCACAATGATAGCAGTGCTGAGGGTATAATGGATCTGGCACAACATTCCGATCATTCAAACTAAACTCGAGACCTGAGTGCGTCAGGAAAAATAGAGCAAATATGAGAGCTAGTGTCGACATTTTAGGGAGAATTGCGACCTGGTTCCTTGAAGTATTTGCGTATTTTACTGATACAAATTGAAACGGTTGACTTTAATCTGTTACCTGAACCAAGGATAGTTTACGTATATATGCATCAGCAACTAAAAATATTGAAAGTATTTAGTGGTAATAATTATTTATTTATTTGTTCTACTTTAAAATCTTGGGGAAAGAGTCGTGTTTTATTTGAATCATCATTTTTTTGTAAATTATAATTTCGCAATATATTAAAATCAAATTGTTTAACTCTCAGATGTTATAGCCCTTCAATTAACTATGGCACAGCAGGATAAAGATTTGATCCCTTGCTTATGATAAAGTACAAAAAAAAACTTTGTAAAGTAGTACTGGTGAGTTTAGTACACAACGTACGCTGATGTACTTAATGTTAAAACCGACCAGTTTAGTACACTACGTACGCTGATGTACTTAATGTTCAAACCGACCTGAGTCTATTGGTACATTAATTATTTCAGAACGTTTCGATATACATTCATACACTCAGTTTAATTATCAGATAGATCGGATGTGCATTGCGCACGTTTACAAAAAATTATGTACTATGTACATTGTACATTTAACATCATTGTACATAAGAATCACTGTTTAAGATTGACTAAACCCAAACAAATATTCAATTGAACCTTCTGATTTTTATAGAATCTAATTCTGTAAAACTAAACTTATTGCAGTTGCCTTGTACACCACGTACAGACCTTCACTTGTACATAAGTTGTAATTGTAAAGATAAGTTAAATCTTACGTGTATATGATATTATTTCCTGAGAAATAAACGTAGTTGCAAATTAATGTATTTCAATCCAAATGTACTGATTGTGGTTATTTCATGTTTCTACCCAACGTTTACACAAAAGAGAATTTTTAAAGGAAAAAATGAAGCGACTTCTAGCCTCTACTCCTATCGACGCGGAAACTTGGAGAACTAGAAATCAAGAAGTTGACAAAGAAAATGAAAGAACGGATAAATACAAGGGTATTCTTACTCCCGGTCTTACTCCTGTACCTCATGCCTACCCGGATACCCGTGGTTCAACCCCTGAAATTTCTACTCCTGCTCCAGTCAACAAATTGCTAGCGTACTTATCAGAAGAAAACTCGCTAGGATACCCTCAGCCACCCGGAATAGGAGCTCTAGCGGCGTCAACCCCAGCATATTTAGGCAAAAATCCTCCTACTTTTGCTCCGAGTGTAGTTGGAGAAAATATAAACCAAGGCGCGGAGTTCAGGGGACATAACCCATTCAGGTTCGGTTTTACGGAACAGACTGAAAGATCGTTGAGAAAAATGAAAATTCCAGGAGATACTAATTCCGGAGTTGGGTTAGGTTCTATTAGAGAAAGCACTCCAGGGTTTATCTTTGGACATCAAGTAGAAAAGACTAACGGGCATGGGTTTGTAGATCTAGGTGGAGAGACTCCAGGGTATAGTTTTCGTACTGGAGAGACAAATTCTTTCTTCGGGTTTGGTGCTATTGGAGAAAAAACTCCAAGAGAAGGTATTAATAAAACAGTAGATACTCCCGGAGTGGAGATTGAAGACAAGAGTACAGATTGGGGAAACTTCTTCGATAGGTCCAAGCACAGATTTGGAAATGACAACGTTTCATTTGGGCCATTTGATTTTGCAGGTAAAAGTTTCTGAAGATTAGTGATCAAATTATTTGGAATTGAGTTTTCTTTCTCTCCAGGTACTGGTGGAACTGGTGAGAACTCACTGAGTTTCCAAATTAATTTACCAGACAAACCTCCTGTCACCAACTTCAATCTATTCAACAGTGAAGAAAGATTGAACGAAGAGGAAGAAAGAGAGAAGAGAAATATATATTTTCCAATTGGGGATGAGTCTAGGAATCTGTACCTAGAAGAGGGATCTGAGAGAGCTGAGACTTCGTTTAAACTTCCTTGTCCGGAACCTCGTCCCAACTTCTCTCCTCCGAAACCAGTTTTTATGCACCAGACTAAGGTATTCTAGGCTAGGAGCTATAATAGGGACTTAAACAGTAGCTCTTCATTCATAGTTTTTCAACAGTTTTATAAATTCATTTGAAAATGGAAAAGGACTTTAACGTTTATTTCATAGATAAATAAATAAATGGTTTATTTATCTTTTATAAAGTCTGATTTTCAAAAGGTGGTTTTTTTATTTGATAATTTATAATTTCTTAAAGATTTTTACGGAAAATTCTGCAAGTACAGCATTTTAGGTAAATAATGACCAGGGGCGTAGTCAGGAACTTGTCCAGGGGAGGACGTATTTTTTTTTCTATCCAGGGGGGGACTCAGCACCCGTGGGGTCCTGAAATCAATAGATTTCACTGGTCCAGGGTGGGGGAGGGGATAAGCCCCCCTTGACTCTTCGACTTCTTTTTAAAGACTTGTAAGGGCAGTTACATTGGTCATAGATTGTGAATCTTTCGATCTATGCACATCCGCTATACTAAACTTCTTACCTACGCATCACCCTCTATACTGCACTTTCGGCGTTATACTAACACGTAGTTGTACAGCTGCTAGTTGTACGTACATGTCGCCTCAGCGCCTGACCCTCTAGCCGCGGCGCTCGGCCAATAAATTGTCATTGTCTAAACCTAAGTTCCTAAGTGCAAAAATAAAGAGCTGTCGTGTAAGTCCGATATTACAGTAAATCGGAAAGTTAGAAATTCAGAAGTTCAGTAGAGGGGATATTGCGTATAGACGATGTAATATTACCATGTAAACATTGTCTCAGAGCACAGAAGGAATTCAATGATGAAATCGTCCTCGCTTTTTAAAACTAAGCTTTTTAAAATGTGGCAGACGCTGAACTCCAACCTTCTAGTGTGCGAGGTGGGGAAGACTTCACTGCCGCGCTTAATTAAAAGCGTGATTAGGGGGATGACATTTGTAGATCGAGATTGAATCCTAGCCGCAGCGCTCGGCCCTGAAAGTATCAAACTTAACCTAACCCGTAATAAAAGAAAGTGTCATAACTTAACTTAACCCGTGGCCGTAGCGCTCTGCCCAGAAAGTGTCTTAAGCTAACCTAACCCTATAAATAAATACTAATTTAATTGAAAATTGTTGAAAAAGTGGTCATGTACAAAAGTAAAATCTGCAGTGAAGTCTTCCCCGCCTCGCACACTCGAAGGTTGGAGTTCAGCGTCTGCCTTAAAATGTGACTATAATTGTATCTTAATCTTTTTAAGCTAAAGATATATTGAAAATTTACACAGTTTAGGTTATATAATTATTTAAATCAGACTGGGTAAATATTTAGTCAAATATCTATCTATCTATCTATCTATTATTGTCATTTTTCATTCTCAGGGGTGTTCCAATCGAAGTTCAATGGCCAGCAATTTGTATGGGCGAGGTATGGATCTTTCTTTAGATGAAACTCTACAGACGGGACCAGCTAGACCAGGACGAGTAGACTCGGACTTGGAGCAGGGAAGCACGAGCGCGTTGCACAAGGATACTGTTGAAAAGCTGAACGAGTTCTCTGCTCGGTTGCGTGCGTTAAAATCTCCGGGTGTTAAAAGAGCTCCAGGTTTCAATACATTTCTAAAAGGGGAAAATAAATTATTTTTAGGAAGAAGTATCAAATAGGATGGAAAATATTTTTGATGTTCAAATTTTCACCCTCCCCCCCAGGATGGAAAATAATTTTTGATGTTCAAATTTTCATCTTCCCCCCCCCCATTTATCAAAAATGATGTGTAATGCTTTAAATGATATACCCCTGCAAACACCTTTTCTTGTTCATTACTCGTTGTAAGATAATCGTTTCCAATTTTATTTCTGATCAAATATCGCAGGTTTCGGATTGCGACCTACCCCAAGAGGAACCTCTACTCCTAAGAGCGCTGGAACCCGAACCCCCCGAACTCCTAAATCTGTTGCGTCTACTCCGTGTCATAATTTAACCCTGGTCCCAGAACCAGACTTGATCGCCGCCATTATGGAAGGTCGTGGGACAGCCAAGGAAACTAAATAATTTTTTTATTTTTTATTTTAACATTATTGTTAAAAGAAAATACTTGTAAAGAAGTTTGAAAATCAATTTTTAAGTAAAATGTGTTCGTGTAGTTGTGTACTATTGAATTGGTAAATCATAGCTGGAGTCTATCAATCGGGGTTAATTCTCGGTCTCATTGTACTTCAAGCGGTTTCTTTTACTTTGGCGAAATTTAACGAACACTATTCACATGATAGTTTAAAAGATCAGGGTTACCCCCGAAGGATGAGACTATAAAGACGACCCAAAACTCTTGAAATATGACGATTCCAAGTTTAAGTTAAGTCTTCTGTCTTAAGTTAAGTCTTTTAATGGGTTATTGACTGATTTGGACTAAGAAATAAACAAGTTTACAGTCACAGGGAATCCTGAAATTAAGGAAAAGAACAATTCAAATTCCGTACAATCGTTTTTCAGAACTCTGAAGTCTCATCCTTTGTGGGTAACCCTGTAGTTACTGAAGAATGGGTTAATTCAGGATGTAAAGGATGTTTCTCTGGAAACGTCATTTCCTATCTAGTTGCCCTTTTTACGCTAAAGCTCCGCTCCAGTTTTACATTAATCCAATGTATAATCTCTAAAGCATTAAATGTAATTAATAGTTGGGCTAAATCTTGAAAAGAATTAAAAAGAATTGTGTAAGGGAGAGGTTGGGATTGCTGCAATACAGATCTCTAACCCTGTTCTCTTTCTTTGCCAGTTCTCTGATAGTCCAACCTATCCTAGGAATCATGGAAACAAAATAAAGATAATAAATATGTGTAAAAGATCAACACACGATGTGGGTATTAGGCTTTTAGATTTATTAAAGGGCGTCCCAATAAACATGGGAATTCAGTGACGAGCTCGATATCGTCTTTGTTATGAATGATTTCAAAAGCCATATTATTATGTCTGCTAAAGTTTATCTTATGTAAACGGTAAATGGCTGTAAAGATGTGTCTATAATATATCCGCAAGATGGACAGTGAAGACGTCTGTTTGTGTACTGTAATTTTCTTGTTTTACCAAGTACAACCGTATGCAGTCAAAACATAAACAAACAAATTGTAAACATAGCAGACGAAAATCTTACGGATTACAGCTTTCTCAGTAAGTTATACTAAATCAAAGAATTATTTATAAAGACGATATCGAATTCGTCACTTAATTCCCATGCTTATTGGGACACCCTTAATAATAATATTTTAAAACTCAATAAAATCATATATTTTGCTGAAGTAAAATAATGATTTTTAAAACATGAACAGATAAACAGGGTGTCGCTTAAATACCTGTCTTTTTAAGCTTTTTGGCCTACTAAACATCGTTTTTTGCATGGGAGTAGGGGGGGTCGTCATTTTAATCTTTGAAAAGTAGGCCTTTTTCAGAGACAACCTGTATAAAAATATATCTGTTAAAATTTACTTTAATTTAAGGGAATGCAGATAACTTAAGTTTAAGTGACCCTCCATTTATAGAATAACCTGAGTACCTGAAACTCTAAAAGTAACTGAGTCTTCGCCACAAACTCTGATTTTCTAATCCCTATATCTATGCAACCCAATGTCGTAAATTTTAGAAATTTCAAACTATGAATTCTGATTCTGTTAATCAAATAATTAAAGTTTGAAATATCAAATACTTACACCACCAGGTTGCAAAGATATAGGCATTATAAAATTTGAGTTGAAGTTGAAGATAAACATATTCTTCGTGTATTCCATGATACTGGAGTACAGAACCCTGAGTAAACTACTGAGCTTCAACCCTGCGGAGATTATCTGTCCTGGGAACACGAACCTTTATGCTCAAGGTCAGAAACTCATTAACTAAGGGACTGTTCAGATATTTGGGTAATGTTGGAGGATACCAATTATTGAACAGGGAAAAGAGATATAGTATCTCAGAAAAAGGGTTTTCAACTTAATGTGAAGACGACAAAAATCGAAAGTCCTCTAAAAAAGTATAAACATTCTAAATAAAATCACTTTTGTCTTCACATTTCTTTGGCTTGCTTATTCTTTTGAAACCTGAGATAATTAAAATCCACGCATTGTTAAATCCTAGTTAGAGCTTTTCCAACCCCAAAAATGATGAAATCATGTGATTTGCTAAAGGAATTGAAAACTTAAATTTTCTTATTCTTGTGTCTGTGCAACCTGATGGTGTACACCTTAGCTATTTCAAACTTACACTATTTTTTATTACAGAATTCTTAGTTTAAAATATCTAAGGTCCACGACATAGAGGGATTAGAAATTCATACTTTGTGACAAACTAGATAAATACCGGTATATTGTTAAATTGTCGTCTTATTATTCAATTTACATGCAGTCAAAGAAATAGCATATAAATTAGAGGGGAATTTACTAGAAGCCTCGCACACTCGAAGGTTGGAGTTCAGCGTCTGCCTTAAAATGTGACTATAATTGTATCTTAATCTAAATTTTAAACTAAAGATATATTGAAAATTTACACAGTTTAGGTTATATAATTATTTAAATCAGACTGGGGCAAACCTCTTAATGTCTCGGTTATTTTCAAGATTTATTTCGTTCAGAATGAGACATTTTCTTGATGGTTTATTTAATTAATTTAAATTAAAACAAAAATTTTATATCTCTGGTTTTTATGCGAGCAAAAAATGTCAGACCACATTTTGGAAATGGCAGATCAAGGCTATTTTGAGATAGTTGTTTCATAAAAAAATATTACTAAAATCAGGTTACCAACATTGAATGCCGCAAACTATTTCTAAGGTCAAAGAAGACTTTATTAAGTATCTATCAACTAACATTATTCCGGATTATTTAGACTATTATTGTAATATAAATTTTAGTTTTAGTTCCACTGAATGTTTATATATACACAATGTGTAAAAATATTCTGAATATTAAAGTAAATACATGAAATCTGTTCCTAGGAGATCAGAGAAACAAGCTGAATGAAGAGATCTTGATCCATCTCCCGAATTCCAACCTTGTTCCTGTACAGAGGAAACATTTTAACGAGAGTAAGGGTGCGACCCTGCTCCAGCAGCTTGTAACCACTGAGAACCAGGGAACGAGAGTCTTTTTGATAGAACGTTTCTCTCAATTTTCTGATCTCTACATCTTTGCAACTTTAGACCATTTATATTTTAGATGATGAATTCTGATATTTCAAATAGTCTGAAATTTAAAATATCAAAGGTTTACACATTAAGGTTGCAGAGATATGGGGATTAAAAACTTAAGCTGTTGTAGTGTTCAGTTTCTATCGTATTTATGTTTGAGATGTATAGTGCATACTTTAAAAAAGAATTTGTTTATTGCTGAATTACTGATAAACGATTACTGATAAACGATTGCCCAGAATCGTGTATTTTTCCGGTAAATCAGTAAAATCTGCCACTGAATACACATCACAGCTGCAAATCGTTATTATCACTTTTTCTTATACCTTCATTTTAAATGTGATTTTTTCTGATTTGGAAGATTTTTATAAAGCCCAAAAGAAGAGTCTTCGACTGTATAGGGAACCCAGCTGCAGTATCAGAACAAGTTCTATTCACTCGCCGCAGCTTGTGCTCTTCTTAAGTATCATTTACGTTTAATATTCTATTGTTGGTTATTAAGCTAGGACAGGCAATATTTAATATAGAACCTAATTCTTCAAATTAACCAACATCTACAATCTAGATGTTTTTCGGAATTCAATTTACCCTGGTTTATCTTAACAATACTAAACGTTTTTGTTGAAAGTACAAAACGAAAATACTTGTAAATATGGTCGTTAATACTTTTTCCAGTTTAATGAACAATACAAGATTATTATTTGAAATCAAGTACCCAATAATTTGCTTATAACCAAGCTAAGAACATTCCCGTGGTTCTATCGAGTTTGTTACTCAATCAGAGTTTAAGGCAAATCGGTCAAGGGTTGACTGAGATATGATCAGACCTACAAACAAGCAAACAAATAGACTATTTTATAAATAAAGATGACATTTAAATATTTAACAAACTGTCATGTATGTTTGGATGAACTGTATAAAAAACCATAATTTTAAACTGATCCAGACTTGTTTCTTTAGATACCTAGAGTATACAGAAAATATCCAGTTTCAAAGTAAATCTCTCCGAGTTGAATACCAGACAGCGGAGAAGTGCACAACTATAGACCCTGAGACTGCGGAGCAGATTGAACTCATGTCAAGTCTTGGAGATAAAAAATCTAAGCTTTCTCTTTTTGGACTTCTCAACAAATGCTTGACTAGAGGTAGCGGTTCGTTTTTGAAACAATTCAATATTTGTTCAAAGGTGAATCTGACGTGAACAATATTTTAATATTTGTTGACTTTCGAGGAATTTTAGTATATTTAGTATTCTTTAATCATGTATTTTTTTGTGGTTATTTAACAGACTGTTTAGTAAATGATTTAAGGTCTAGTAATGTTTAAAACAAAGATTGCAAGAAAAGAATATCTAAACAAGATGCAGAGAATTCAATTTTTCTTTTTGTTTCTCATAACTATTGTAAGCATTTTGTTCCTAAAATGCTGATTTACTAGGTATGACGGACGTGCTTCAAAAAAATTCCCATTTTTCCGAATAAAATTTTATTTGTCGAAGGTTTCTTTGATATTTATGACTGTGTGTGTTTGGAATCATGAATATTATGTTTGTCCAGCAGTATGTTATGAGTATAGTTTGTAATCCAATAAACTCTAATGAATATATCCTTCCGTTCCTACAACTAGATTATATTGTGTACTTTGTATTGTACACTGTACAGGGTGAGTTAAAATAAAGTGGGATTAGTGCCGTCTTGTTCAATGTCATATTTTTTCTTAGACAAAAAAAAACATTTTTAATAGATTAAAAATAGTTTCTTAAAATATTTTTCGAAGGTTGCAAAAAAGTCCGCAAAATTCATTTTCTCCTTCGAAAAGTATAGAAAAGCAAAGATGATTTAATATGTTATTTCCAAGGTTATAATGCAAGAAAAGTTAATTGCATTTGTGTATACTCTGCACACATATTGAAACCAGTTCTCTCTGGGCGGAATTTGTAAACAAGAATAGACGCATTAGAGTTCGTTTAGTATCCGAGGAGCATTAAAGCATTAAATTTTGATAATTTTGATAATTCACATAATAGTTTCCTATGACCAGAATATTTCATTGATTTTTCATGTGAAAGATGAATCCCATGTCAGGCTTCGATATCTGTCTTGTGTTTACATTACAGCCCAGAGACAGTACACTGCAGTACGAAAGATGCGTACACCTCTGAAATAACTTTCCTTGCACTATAACCTTGATTATTTCTATCTAATCCTAAAATATTATGAAAATCGATTTCACGGAAATGTAAAAAATCCGCAAAATGGAATACGTTGTAAATTCGCAATTTTATTTGATTCAGCAAAATAAAGTGCTCCAGGAGAAAATATTTTAATTAAATAATAAATAAAGGTTAATAAAATAATAGCTCTTTAAGTTATAAGAAAATAAAATATCGCGAGTTATTTTTTGAGAAGGGGAGACCGTTTGAGTTAAAAAGAAATTTAAAAAAAAAATAAAACAAACGGGAAAATTATCATATATGAGAATTTGACGAAAAGATTGTTCTGAAGGAGGCGACACTAATTCCACTTTTTTTTATTCACTCTCTGTATATTAGGGGGGATCAGGCTACTGAGATCCAACCTTTATCAACCTCCAATACATCCGCAGGTACGTGTTCAAAATAATATTATACACTATACAGTATACATATATGCTATATAGTCAAGAATTCCTTAAACAAAAAATTCAGATAAAAATTGCATTTAGAGCTATTTTTATATTTTAGAAAAAAATTGAAACGAAAGAAATGAAATTTTTTAAATGATGAAGAAAGTGAAAAGCAAAAAAAAAAACTTTAAAGCAATTAAATTTCAACAAAGATATAGTAACTGAGCACTTCCCACAAACTAATTTTAGGAGCCCTTTATCTTTGAAAGTCAATGGTTTAAACCTTGGATATTTCAAGTTTTATATATTTAATCTAGTAGAATTCTTAGTATTACAGGTTGCAAAGATATAAGTATTAGACAAATATATTGTTAACTTTTTTAAAGAAAATCTAATTTTAGGTAGCACTTACAAAAAACGTTTGTGTAAAACATCTATTCTTGTGTTTATGTGTAAACTTGATATTATTACTATCTGTAAGATAAATGTTCCAGTTTATAAATCTGGTGCTGGACTGGACCCCGGGGGATTATACTGTCAAATCCTGCAGCAAGAACAAGAAGAAAATTTAATACAATGTTTTATCTTAATATCCTTACTCACATCCTTCTTAGATATACAGCTGGACAGAAAATTTAATTAAATATAGGGAGTGTTCGTGATCTTTAAGGAGGGTGTAGGATAATCAAAAATTAAATTACGTGTCCATTTCGATCTTATATTTCTGTAATAAAAGTTTTTATGGATAGACAGCCTGAATTGTTAATTGGATCTAAAAAGAAGATATTTTTTATCATTTCCTAATTGATTAAGATTTACCATGTGCATCCTCTTATCAAAACAATTGAGACGTTGCCACAAATTCAAATCAATTCTAATCCCTTTATCTTTGCAATATTATAGTGTAAACCTTTGTTATTTCAAGCCTATATTATCTGGTCAAACAGAATTTTTAGTTTGAATTGTCTAAGGTCTACGACATTGGGTTGCAAAGATATAGAAATGAGAAAATCTGAGTTTATTACAAAGACTCAATTCCTTTTATGAAATCTTCCTTTGGGAAAAGAACTGAACTAGTGCTTCAATTAGTTTTCTTATTCTTACAGTACAAAATCCTCCTATTGAGCATATGTCCAGGAGTATTGTATATTAGGCGGGGGTATTAGACATTTTCGTATAAGACACATATTTATTCTTATTATTATATCAATTTCTCGAGGCATCAGATATAACTTTCTTGGGTCGCGATCAAGAGCTAAAGTGATTTGCTCCCTTTCATTTTTCCTTTACAGTCACTTTAAACTAACTACAATGAAGTACATTCTGTCTTTATCATCAATTTTTCCTTTACAGTTCCTTTAAACTAACTACAATGAAGTACATCCTGTCTTTATCATCAATTTTTCCTTTACAGTCCCTTTAAACTAACGACAATGAAGTACATCCTGTCATTATTTTCAATTTTTCCTTTACAGTCCCTTTAAACTAACTAACTAACTAGAATGAAGTACATCCTGCCTTTATCATCAATTTTTCCTTTACAGTCCCTTTAAACTAACTACAATTAAGTGTTTCCTGTCATTATCATCAATTTTTCCTTTACAGTCCCTTTAAACTAACTACAATATCCTGTCTTTATCATCAATTTTTCTTTACAGTCTCTGTAAAACAACTACAATGAAGTACATCCTGTCTTTATCATCAATTTTTCCTTTACAGTCCCTTTAAAATAACTACAATGAAGTACATCCTGTCATTATCATCAATTTTTATCCTTTACAGTTCCTTTAAACTAACTAGAATGAAGTACATCCTGTCTTTATCATCAATTTTTCCTTTACAGTCCCTTTAAACTAACTACAATGAAGTACATCCTGTCTTTATCATTAATTTTTCTTTACAGTCTTTTTAAAATAACTACAATGAAGTACATCCTGTCTTTATCATCAATTTTTCCTTTACAGTCCCTTTAAACTAACTACAATGAAGTACACCCTGTCTTTATCATCAATTTTTCTTTACAGTCTCTTTAAAATAACTACAATGAAGTACATCCTGTCATTATCATCAATTTTTCCTTTACAGTCCCTTTAAACTAACTACAATGAAGTACATCCTGTCATTATCATCAATTTTCCCTTTACAGTCCCTTTAGACTAACTAGAATGAAGTACATCCTGTCTTTATCATCAATTTTTCCTTTACAGTCCCTTTAAAATAACTTCAATGAAGTACATCCTGTCATTATCATCAATTTTTCCTTTACAGTCACTTTAAACTACTACAATGAAGTACATCCTGTCATTATCATCAATTTTTATCCTTTACAGTCCTCTTAAACTAACTAGAATGAAGTACATCCTGTCTTTATCATCAATTTTTCCTTTACAGTCCCTTTAAACTAACTACAATTAAGTACATCCTGTCATTATTATCAATTTTTCCTTTACAGTTCCTTTAAACTAACTACAATGAAGTACATCCTGTCATTATCATCAATTTTTCCTTTACAGTCCCTTTAAACTAACTACAATTAAGTACATACTGTCATTATCATCAATTTTTCCTTTATAGTTCCTTTAAACTAACTACAATGAAGTACATCCTGTCTTTATCATCAATTTTTTCTTTACAGTCCCTTTAAACTAACTACAATTAAGTACATTATGTCATTATCATCAATTTTTCCTTTACAGTCCCTTTAAACTAACTACAATGAATTATATCCTGTCATTATCATCAATTTTTCCTTTACAGTCCCTTTAAACTAACTACAATAAATTACATCCTGTCATTATCATCAATTTTTCCGTGAAGATTTGATCTCACTTATTCAAATTTCGTCGAAAACGCCGTGATAGACTATTTGTATTTCATGTACAATGTACATGTAGTCCGTCACAAACTTATAAAAAGCAATACAAAAAATCTTCTTTTCACGGGTGAAAATAAAGTCTTTGTCACAAACAAAACTGTTCTAATCCCAATATCTTGGCAATTAAGCTGATGGATTAAACCTTTTCAAACGTCGATTATTTGATCTAATAGAATTTATAGTTTGAAATAGTTAAGTTCTACGACATTGGGTTGCAAAGTTATATGGATTAGAGAATCAGAGTTTGTGATAAAGACTCAATTCTTTTTTAACATTTGCGGGGGGGGAGACTCTCCCCGCAGAGGAGATAGGAGCGGTAGTTTTTCCAGACTTATTCTGCTGCACGTACCATCTTTTTTCTAAATATATATTAGAAATGTTTTCTCTCTAAAGAGAGATGTGGAAACCAAGATAAATTATCTTCTTTTATATAAAAATAATGATAATTGAGAATGACACAAGTTTATAATTGATATAACTTAAAACGAAAAAAAGTTCTGATCTATAGAATTACGCCGAATAAAGAAATGATGTAAGTTTGAGCAATAGCTTTAATTTACCTAGAGCCTATATATATATAATTTGTTTGTACAGAGCTGAATAGAGGTCTTCTCATATATTCTACTCCTCTCATGTTCCATATTACCCCTGAGCAGTAATCCATCAAATACAGTTTTAGCTTAGCTCCTAGTAATAATATTAGAAGCACTCTACAGTATATTTACATAAACAATAATATTCTTTATAAAACAGTCTTTGCCAACCCTAAGAGATTTGTACCGTCGTACACACAAAAAATTGGATTAGGAAGATGAGTTTCAGACAAGAAATATTGTTTAAAAGTTTCATAAAGAAACAACACTTGCTTCAAACTAGAATTCTGCTATTTCTTAATATTTTTTCATGATTCTTTCAATTACGAGACGAACAATGATATTTTAAAACTATCTTAGATGATTGGTGAAAGGTTGGAAGCAGTTGAGGAGTTGGTAGAGAATCCAGAGTTATATACAGCACTCAGAAACTCTCTCTCCAGGTATAAGAATAGTGAGTAGAGAATCCAGAGTTATATACAGCACTCAGAAACTCTCTCTCCAGGTATAAGAATAGTGAGTAGAGAACCCGGGGCTGCATACTGGACTCGGAAACTTTCTCCAGGTAGGAGTAGTGAGTAGATAACCCAGTGCTGTATACTTGACTCAGGAGCCCTTTCGCCAGGATGGAGTTGTTAGTAGATAATTCACAGAGCTGTATACCGGACTCAGGAGCAATTTATCCAAGTAGAAGTAGTTGGTAAAGAACCCAGAGCTGTATACTGAACTCAGGAGCAATATATCCAGGTAGAAGTAGTTGGTAGAGAACCCAGAGCTGTATACTGAACTCACTCAGGTTCATCCCCAGGTAAGAATAAGTAGAGAACCCAGAGCGGTATACTGGATTCAAGAACTTCCTCTCCGGATAGGAAAAGTTAGTATAAACCCCAGAATTGTATACTGGACTTAGAAACCCTCTCCACAGGAAGGAATAGTTAATAGAGAACTCAGAGCTGTATACTGGTCTCAGGAACTATATCTCCAAGTATATTTGGTAGAGAACTCAGAGCTGCATACTGGTCTCAGGAACTATATCTTCAAGTAGGAGTTATTGGTAGAGAACTCAGAGCTGTATACTGGTCTCAGGAACTATATCTACAAGTAGGAGTTATTGGTAGAGAACTCAGAGCTGTATACTGGTGTCAGGAACTATATCTCCAAGTATAATTGGTAGAGAACTCAGAGCTGTACTGGTCTCAGGAACTATATCTCCAAGTATAATTGGTAGAGAACTCAGAGCTGTACTGGTCTCAGGAACTATATCTCCAAGTATAGTTGGTAGAGAACTCAGAGCTGTATACTGGTCTCAGGAACTATATCTTCAAGTAGGAGTTGTTGGTAGAGAACTCAGAGCTGTATACTGGACTTAGAAACCCTCTCTCCAGAGTCCGGATAGGAGTAGTTAGTAGAGAACCCAAAGGTGTAAACTGGACTCAGTAACCTTCTCTCCAGAACGAAGTAGTAGAAAACCAAGAGCTGTATGGTGTATACTAGACTCAGGGACTCCCTGTCAAAGTAAAAGTAGTTGGTAGAAAACCCAGAACTGAATGAGAAATTATTTTCTTGTTGGAGGAACACGGGATCTGCATCGAATTATACCTAATGTCTTCAATGCTCATTACCCAATCTTAATGTTAAACTTACTCTGTTTTAGGTTTCAAGATCTAGAACTGATTCTGTCTCTATGTGTCCGTCAGAGTAAACCCAACGTTTCCACACACATCCTAGACCAGAAGATGGATCGAATAATCGGACTAAAACAGGTTCATCACCAAGAATAGAGAATCAGTATCACATTTTCTTTTTTGAAACTATTAACCACCTCCTAACTGATAATCTTAATGATGTGTGTAAACATTTATCCAGAATAATGATTTTATTATGGTCCAACAACATTGTTTATTTGCTACTAGTACAGACACACTATGTTTACATAATCTACATATTATACAGTCAAGAGTCAAGTGTTTGTTTGTAAAAGCTAGAATAGATGATTAAAAATCAAAGCTCTACAATTTGCAGGAATAAAATAAAATTATCTTTAGTTTTGAATATAACTGATTTATGATTTCAAACAATTCAAAAACAACTTAAATTATATTTATCAGACTCTAACGTTTAGAAAGAAATTGAGTTTTCTAATCCCTACATCTTTCCAACTTGATATATTGATATTTCAAAGATTTACGACGGGTTGCAAACAGATAGGGATTAGAAAATCAGAGTTTGTGGCAAAGACTCAATTTCTTAATGTCAACAATTTTGAAGAAAAAAATATATTTTTCATAACTAAGGATTTTAATATTGTAAAAAAATTCATGTTAATATAATTTAGGTTTTAGAGTTTCTAGTTCCTCTATCTGAAATCCTAGCTCCCTCTACCTCCACCCTCCTGAAGGGGGCCAGGGACCTCGTCGTTAAACACGGGAAGAACTGTCAGCTTCTCCTCCAGATGCTTCATCTCGTTATCAACGAGTCAGCGACCTCGTCGAAGAATGCGACCTCGATGAGGTTCGCGAGGGCGATGGCAATCCGTCCAAACACGAACGGATTGCTGGATCTGGACAGAGCAGCTTTCTGTGAGAACGTCGATGATTTAGAGAGACATACCAAGGTTTTTTATATTTTTGTTTATAATAAAATCACTTCCGAAAAGAATAACAATCAATTATTTAATGGGGAGTTGGATGGGACCGGGGCTATTTATATTAAGATCATAACACAAAAAGTCCTAATAAGTATTTCAAAACGCTCTATTTTATGCAAACATAGAGTGGAACCAATGATTTGTTGTACACTGCACAGTACGCTACAAAGTACATATTCGTAGATATCTGTTTCCAATAATTAGTACTTATTTTTCATTCTTCACACCTCACGACTGGTTCTTATGTTCCTCTCAGAGGGACATAAGAACCCTCTCTTTATACAGAGCATCATAGTTTTGTCACTTCTATGATCTTATGCTTAATATTTTTAAGAAAAAAATATGTAAACCTCCTGCCATAAAAGTAGATTAAAAATACAAAATGGTTAAAAAATTGAAATAAATTTATTAGTGGTCTCCTTCTTATTGATTGCAATGAAACCAATAACCAAAATTGGTACTATATAAATAGCCAACACGAAGGGGAATGAGGGTCTTCTTAACTCTTTCTTCCAAATGAAAATATGTCACTGCATAATTTGCAACTGTATAACTCTTATATACAGGGTTACCCTATCCTTACAAAGGATGAGACTGTGAAGACGACTAGAAACTTTAAAGATATGACAATCCCAATCTATAGATATGACTACTGCCTTGAATTTTGTCTTTCAATGGGTTATTTAATAATTAAGAAAAGAAAGAAACTAATTTACAGTTTCAAGGAATTCAGAATATGATGTAACAGACAGTGTTAATTCTGTACAGTCGTCTCTGAAGTCTCATCCTTTGTGGGTAACCCTGTATATTAAATGTGGCCATGCCTTACAATTACAGGTGACTATAAATCTGTTAACAAAGAGTAAAAACGACAATTTTGTCACTTTTCTTTGAGAATCACCGTATCAGTATGAGGAGGAGTATTTAAACCTTGTTGTAGAGTCTAGAGGAGGAGTACCAGCTGCCGGTTAGATTGGTCTGGTCAGGAACGCGTGGCTTTTATATCAATATACCCCAGGAGAAAGGAAGAACATTAAGGATTGAAGAACTTCCAGGTCTGATACCATTATTGAATTATAAGAATGAGGGGTATGTATGTAATTCATTTTGTTATATTTTTCTCAACAAAATTTTATATTTCCCAACAAAAACAGCGACTTCATATTATATATGTATATACAGTATAGACGCCCCTGAGGAAATAGTTTGTTATCTAATAAGCGTAGAGAAGTTTGTGACGATAATACATAAATAATGAATACACACACTTCACATATCACAGTAGACAATTCAATTAGTAAACCATCACTCCTCCTCCCAAAAATAAAAAATAAAAATGGAACCGAGATGCAAAAAGAGAGGGTCGGCGTGAAAGATGCGTAATGCTATGATTTCATACTGAAATTTTTTTCGCACAATTGTACAATTTTACTTTACAATAATCCCCTCCCCTCTATTCGAATATAGAAATATAGAAATTAGATAATCAGAGTTTTTGGCAAAGACTCAATTTCTTTAAGATAAGTTTTAATATTTTCTCGAGCTACAATTTTTTACTGACTGTGTCAACTGAATTTTAAATTGATATTTAATTTGATTTCCGCATTATTTTCTCTTCTTTTCGTTCCGCCGTTTTCGTTTATCTGCTTTATTTTCAAGTATGGTGCCGATATGACAAAAATAGAGGGAGGGGGGGGGGCTAATAGATGTCTACCTGCCCGCCAATATAGCTGGACTGTACACTTACAACTGTTTACTAATAAATGACAGAAAAAGATTATGGTGTAACGTATAGTATAAATAATCAAATATGTAGTGCGCTCTCAGTGAAGTTCCTAGCCTATAAACATGGGAATTCAGAGACGAATTCGATATTGTCTTTGTTATAATCAGCATTGTAATACCTGATTTCCAAAGTCATAGTATTATTATGTCTGCTAGAGTTTACTTTAAGTTTACTCTGTTTGTATAATCTAATTTTCTTGTTTTACTAAGTACAACCTTATGCAGTCAAAACTTAAACTAACAAATTGTAAACATGGCAGAGGAAATTCTTACGGATTACAGCTTTCTCAATAGGAATCACTATACTAACTCAAAGAGGCGATATCGAGCCCGTCACTGAATTCCCATGTTTATTGGGACACCCTGTATAACTAGCTCTATACACTATAACCTCGTTGCTAAAATCTTACTCAGGAACACAGACTAACACAGACTGCTCATACGCTCTTACGGTATACCCTAGAGGCCTATTGTTGTCCCTATACGCCATGCTACTTTTACACGAGGGGTTTTGGACTGCCATCTAACGGCCACGTGTTGCATATAATACCCATTCGGGGGTTAAATTTTACAACTTTATTAAATACCCCAATTTTTAACATGAAACATTAAAGGAACTGAGTACTTGCCACAAACTTAACTTTTCTAATCCCAATATCTTTACAACTTGACCAAGTAAACCTTCGATATTTCAAACTTAGACTATTTTATCCAACAGAATTCATAGTTTAAAATATCAATAGGTCTACGACATTGGGTTGCACATATATAAAGTTTTAAAAACACGAGTTGGTTGCAAGAACTCAGTTCCTTTATGAGTTTATAGTCTATTTTTGAAGATTTTGTATTTCGTATCCTAAGGATCCTTTAATATCATACAGAAGTCTGTCGATTAGTCGTGTACTCCAGTTGTACACAATAGAACCTGCTGTGGAAAATATCGCATTTACAAGCGTATGAGTAGTTTGTGTTAGTCTGTGCTCAGGATATTCTTTTCCTCCGAAATCATGTTAGTCTGCAGTTTGTGCAATTATTCTCTATAGAGAATATTGTGCTGACAACTATACTTTCCTCACATTTATTCCAATATTTCTATTCATAGTCTTTTCATTTTAGTCTAGACCCTTCACGGTCATCCAGAGATATTTTAATAAGCAGTGAGTTCTGTTTTCAACCCATTTAAATTTCTGAATTTTTTATATTAGGTCAGTCGAAAAGTAAATGATTCATCTGCTGGGGGGGGGGGGGAGAGAGTTGTCAAAATTTAAAAAAAGTACAGCGCCAATAAAAAATATTGCGAAATTGTTGTCGTTTTCTATTTAGAACTGCCGCTAAGGATTTTGTAATCGGCTACAACTGTTGTATCTCTAAAAAAAATGTTCTTATTGTATTTTAAGAGATATGTTAGCTTTACAAACTAAAAAATCTTCATATATAAAAATAAAGAAAAGATCAAGAAAAAAAAATGATTTAATATTAATAATTTAAAGTTTATGATTTGTTTAACAGTTTTAATCCTCCTCTAAAGGTTGTACTAATCGAAACATGCACACTGTTAGAAATATTGATCATTTACAAACTACGAATTCTCAGCGATACTTCATAATTAAAAGAAATAAAAAGACGACAAAAGCTTTAATGTTGATTCCTCGCCCATGTTTTTTCTAATGTCTAATCTACTCTGCGGCGTATAAATATATAAACAATTTATTATAATAATACTATCTATTAGTTTTAGATTACATATTGGTTCATGTATTTTATATTTATAGATTAAACGTTGATTCATCTTGTTTAAGATATTTCTAGATCAAACGTTGATTCTTATTTTCTTAATATTTATAGATCGAGCATTGAATTATCTTGGTTTAGATATTTCTAGATTATTAAACTTTGATTCATCTTGTTCTAGATATTTCTAGATTAAACATTGATTCATCTTGTTAAAATATTTCTAGATTAAACATTGATTCATCTTGGTTTAGATATTTCTAGATTAAACATTGATTAATCTTGTTCTAGATATTTCTAGATTAAACGTTGATTCATCTTGTTAAAAATATTTCTAGATTAAACATTGATTCATCTTGGTTTAGATATTTCTAGATTAAACATTGATTCATCTTGTTAAAAGTATTTCTAGATTAAACATTGATTCATCTTGTTAAAAATATTTCTAGACTAAACATTGATTCATCTTGTTTTAGATATTTCTAGATTAAACATTGATTTATCTTGTTAAAAGTATTTCTAGATTAAACATCATGTTTGATTCATCTGGTTAAAAATATTTCTTGATTAAACATTGATTCATCTTGTTCTAGATATTTCTAGATTAAAAATTGATTTATCTTTCAAGATATTTCAAGATATTTCTAGATAGTTCTAGATATTTCTAGATAGTTCTAGATATTTCTAGATAGTTCTAGATATTTCTAGATAGTTCTAGATAGTTCTAGATAGTTCTAGATATTTCTAGATAGTTCTAGATATTTCTAGAATTATCTAGATATTTCTAAATGATTTTAGATATTTCTAGATGATTCTAGATATTTCTAGATAATTCTTGATATTTCTAGATAATTCTAGATATTTCTAGATAGTTCTGAATATTTCTAGATAATTCTTGATCACACGGTTAATATTTTTTTTTCTAGATATTTTCCACAGAGTTCAGAAGAACAAGAACTCCATCACTTGTGTCACAGAGGAAACTAACATAAAACATTTTTCATTTTAATATTTTAAATATTTTATCCTTATTATGAATAATTTTAGATTTTGTGTTATTTTTTATGTTTTTTCCCCCTAGTTTATGCTGATGAAGGATCGTTTAATTCAAGGAAATATTCAGGTATACGTGTATTTTAAATTAAGCATTTTTGTTGGTTTATATTTCATTCAATTTTCCACTCATTTTTTTCATTATCAAAGTCATCATATAAAGGCTTCACTAATCAAATTAACCACATTTATCGCTTAATCTTGATATCCACTGTGGACACTATATAAGTAGATATAAGGCTAATTTTCTATATTTATTGAAAAATTTACCATTTTTATCTTACTACTGTGAACAAACCTGGGAAAATGTTGTTCTTACACTCTACAGAAAGGGAGAATATTTTATTCGTGGCTACATCATTCCAAAAAAAGCCTAAACTCCTTCCCCCTGGACTTATTCCTGTACACGCCCCGGACTGTCTAGTGTTCTATGCACAGCTTTTGTGTTCTGAAACTAGGGATCAAGTATTGATCACCATCTGATGCAGACATTCGGTTAAGCATTGATCCTAGATTTTAAAAGTGTCCACACTGGATATCGAGATCATACGTTCAAGATTAACGATTCTCTTTCTATCTGAGAGTAGAAAGAATTTTCTACTCTGTGGTTCTGTGTTAGTTCTGATGTAAAGTAAATATTGACAGAAATCAAGTAAGTGAGATGTTAAACGATACTTCACTACACACTCTTTATTTACCAACACACTCATGTGTATTCAAGTGTAATTGGTTAAAAATAAAGGATTTGTTGAAGTATTTTAGATATTACTAGCTTGGGAACCCAGCTTCGTCTGGTAACTAAACTTCCACTACAAAAGTCAACCAACTCAACTAAGAATTTTTAATCGGCAAGGGGTTTATGAGTTATGGTCGTATATACAAACAAATAAATATATATATTGCTATAGATGATTATTATTTATGTACTCAAATTGTTTAAACGCCTCGTAGTCCATCTTAAATAAAATAAACGATTTTTGAAGAAAAAAATTATACATAAGTTGGATTTTTCTATTACTGAAAAGGGAGCAAAGAAAATTTTACTTTAAATAATTAGGATTGGATCAGAGATATGAAACTTGATGGTGAAAACCTTTTTTTTAAACATTGAATATTTGATCATAATTCATAGTTTGAAATATCAAAGGTCTACGACGATTGGTGGTAAAAAATATAGAAATTAGAAAAATCAAGTTTGTGGTAAGAGTTAAGTTCCTTTGTTTACATTGAATTATTTTAATAAGAAATAATCGTCCAATTTAATCTAAGTAAGAAAAAATAAAGGAGAAGAGATAAATGATTCGATTTTAAGTCTTCTAAATACAATGTACCTTATCATTTATCTAAATGAGAAATATATTATGTTTGAGAGAGTAGTGAAACTAAAGCAATACAATAATATATTATTCTCAAATGGGGGTACTTAAGTCTTTCTTACTCTCAAAAGTATTATATTATGTAAGAAATATGTTGTATATTACACGTACGTTTATAAAGAATTGCAAATATTGTTATAATTTATTGTAGAAGTTTTTTGTTTCATTCTGTATGACACTGATATTTTTATGTGTAAAGTAAACTTTTAAGGGCAGTTTATTTTTTATAAAATACAAAAACATCCAGAAAGTTAGCGATCTCAATGAAGTAGAAACAAATATAGATTTAAACCCTAGATTTACAGCTAAAGCTGCTCACACAGGACTAACCAGAGTGAGCAGCATTCGGTTTATTCTACTTGAAATCATAAGTGTTTTGGTCTATAATTTAACAACCTTTTACCTTACGGTTTTGTTTATTCTATACTTTTTCATTCAAAATGCATATGCCAACAAAAAAATTCTTTTAAAAAAAGGTTTAAAAATTATGTTTTATGGGTCAAATTGTGATCGAAAGTCAAAACTTTCTGGATTATTGACAGAACCGTTAAATCGACGTGTGCTGAAGGCGTAAAATGACGTACTATGTGTACTGTGTAGTGTTGTTGATAATGGTTTTGCTTCGTTTCTTAAAACTGTGTTCGGTTAGAGTTTGCTTTTATAAAACTTTGCCATATTTGTTTCCTAAAAAATTGAAAATCAAAACGCGTTAATTTTTTAGTTCCTTTTTTTGCATGTCTTAGAGTAAAAATTTGATAAAATGTAAGAAAAGCAAATGTTTAGAATAAAAAAAAACTACACTACGCCAAAAGAAAAAAATAAAGGTTAAAAACAAAGCAACACTAGCTATTTGTCACTTAAAATTTATTTTGGAAGTCCATCAATGAAACCGGAAAAATCGCGACATTTCTTTTCTTCTTCTAGGAAATAACCCTGATATCTGACACTATCCTAGAGGAACTTCTAGCTGAGGTTAGAGAATATATATGGTTTCTCTACCAGCTGAGTGAAACTGTTTCTCTTATTGACCTTCTTCTTTCTCTAGCCGCAGTGTCAATGAACCAGGATTTTACTAAGGTTAACATTTATTATTTTTACATTTTTCATACTTTGTTCTTTGAAAAGTGTTCACATTCAAAACTTTTGAAAATAGATCATACCCTACATTTTCTTTAAAGAAATTTTCTCTACCAACACATAAAGAAAAGTATTCCCTTTTTTTATTATATAAATATAATCTTGGGAATTGTTACTCCCACGTTCACATGCGCTTGGTTATTAATCACTATTTTAGCAATTTTTTCCAATAAGAGTGGACCCAGTCAACTTCGAATCTCAAAACCAAGCTTAGAATATTTCCCTGGTTCTCCCGAGTACCCCATCCAAAATTTGAGGCAAATCGGTCAAGGTGTTCATGAGCTATGATCAGATAGATAAACAGAGATTATAACTTCATATATGTACTAGCTCGGGAACCCAACGTTGCACAGGGTACAGGGTACTCATACTTGCTCCCGCCGTTTACCCGGAACTTTACCGGGAAACTAACTTTTCGCTATAAAGTCAACCCACTTAACTTAGAATCTCAAAGCCCAGCTAAGAACATTCCCGTGGGCCTCCCGAGTTCTCAACCAAAATTTGTGGCAAATCGGTCCAGGGGTTCCTGAGTTATGATCGAACAAACAGACAGACAAACAGAGATTACAACTGTATGTAAATAGATAGATGTAGACTTTGAGGGATATTCTAGGCAAATTGTATAGGAAAAAATTTAACCATGATTAAACAATAAAAACTCTAGAATTAATTATCCCAGCTTTGAAGATTGAAAACTATATTTTATTCTAGTAAACTGTCCAGCCCGTCTAGTAAACTGTCCAGCCCGTCTAGTAAACTGTCCAGCCCGTCTAGTAAACTGTCCAGCCCGTCTAGTAAACTCTTTCCAGCGCGTTTTATAAATACATGTTTTTTTTACAAAAAGTGAAAGATTGCGCTCCTTAATAACTGGTTTATTTCAGATCTTAATATAGAGTACTATATATTACTCTTCTGAAAAATATTTTTACTTTAAAAGAATAGAAATTTGTTTGAAAACTACATATTTGTACCTTTGACAGCTTGAAAATTACGTATTTTATCCTAAATTGTTCTTATAATTTTCAGCAGCAGTACTATTAATGTATGGGATATATTTTAACACATACACTAAAAATGGGTGGATAGGGGGGAGGAAGTCAAGCTTAAAGTGCAAGTTTCCGTTTAAGTTTGGGATTGTGGGTTCAGTTATTTGTTCATATGTATACCAAAACAAACTGTTCTGAAAATTATTTTGTTATCAGCCGGAGTTTGGGGACAGTATTGCAGTGAAGGGAGCTCGGCATCCCTTCCTGGAGATGATGGATGTAGAAGTTGTCCCTAATGATATACTCGCTGATCCTGATCACAGGATAATTGTTCTAACAGGTGACAGATAAAGATACTCTGATGAACATTGGTTTAAAAAGCTTGTTTTTTTAAACCAGATTCTGATAAAGTTCTAAAATGTGGAAGGAGAGCGACCCCGTAAAATTTAAAAGTATATATTTTTGTCGAAAAACAATTCATTATTTTTTCACAAAGTTATTATGTATTTATATGTATTCTAAAGTGGTAAAGGAATTGAGTTTTTTCCCCAAACTTCATTTTCTAATCCCTATATCATTACAACCCGATTTTGTAATACACCTTTGATATTTCAAACTATAAATTCTGGCAGATCAAGTTGTATAAGTTTGAAATACCAAAGGTTTACACATTCACGTTGTAAAGACTTAAGGATTAGAATAGTAATGGAGTCTTTGTCACAAACTCAAAATTTCAAGTTCTATATCTTTGAAATCTATTGACGTTAACTTTTGATATTTCAAACTTCGTTATTTGATATGACAGAATTCATAATTTGAAATATCTAAGGTCTGCAGTATTGGGTAAGTATTGGGTTGCACTAATATAGAGATTTTAAAAAGCAAAGACTCACTTCCTTTATGTTTGTGCAAAAACTGATTTTTCTCATATTATTTCATGATTTCATTTTTCCTAGTACATAATTTTAAAGGATTTACAATAGCTATAGTTTGTAAAATACTAGACTTTTAAGGCGCTTCGCGCCCATCCACACTAAACTAAGCTAGTGGGGAAGGTCAATTAGGCCTATGATAGGCCGGGTACTGTAAAACGCCTGCGCCATCAAAGTTGAACCCGAGTTGGCATAGGATAGGGTCGAGAGCAGTACTTGCCGCGCGTCACTGAGGCCGGTGCAAGGGTCTTCCCTTTGTACAGTACAGTATAAAACAACTAAAAAAGTTCACGGATTTTCAAATATTTTTTCGCGCATATTTAAAATTTCACAAAAATCAAAAGCTTTTGGATTCAACTTTTTGTAAGTCTGAGCATCTATAAATCTTCCCTGGGGTCACACAAGGTCCCACACAAAATTTAGGCCCGATCGGTTCAGCCGTTTTGACTTTTATTGGAAACAAATAAACAAATAGACAGACAGGCAGGCATAGTATATATATAGATGCTGAAAAATTCCCGTTCTTTTTCTCGCAGAAAACCTATCGCACAGTTTCAGCATCAAAGTATCCCTTTTTTCGTTGTTAATATTCATAAATGTAAATTATGGATTATTCTTGAATAAAAGTAAGTTTTTTTGGTAGAAAATACTATGGGGAGATTGGGTCGTAGAAGCTTTATCTTTCTGAATACATTGTACTCCAATGTCTTCGGGGTATAATAATTTAGCCAAAACTTCGTAAGAAAAAGAAAATTCTTTGTTTATAAACAATATTTAAATACTTCACTCTTAAAAATTTCTTTAAGTAGGAGTTGGGAAAAGTAAAAAATGTGTTAATATCATTTTTTAGAAAAAAATAGTTAGAAAAATAAGGCGAGGATACAATGTTAACTTACCTACAAAATAAACTAAAATAGCTTACATACAGCTGAAATATTTGATTATAAAATGAGTCAATTAAAATACATTGATGGTTTATTTTGGAAAAATTCTGATTGGTTGAGATTTTCGACATTTTGAAAATTTGAAACTATTCATATTGCATTCACAACTTGCAAACAAACATGAAGCTTATGAAATTCAAAGTTAGATTCAATAAAAACGTGACTCGAGCGCTCGGAGTAAAGTAAGTAAAGTAAAGTCTAAACATGAAGAAGTTTAAATAAGAAAATGAATTCTAGATAAAAGAAGATCTAACAGAGTAAAGAAGAAGTTTAAATAAGAAAATGAATTCTAGATAAAGGAAGATATAACAGAGTAAAGAAGAAGTTTAACTAAGAATAAGAATTCTAGCTAAAGAAAGATATAACAGAGTAAAGAAGAAGTTTAAATAAGAATATGAATTCTAGATAAAGAAAGATATAACAGAGTAAAGAAGTTCAACTAAGAATATGAATTCTAGATAAAGAATGGTATGACAGAGTAAAGAATAAGTTTAACTAAGAATATGAAATCTAGATAAAGAATGGTATGACAGAGTAAAGAATAAGTTTAACTAAGAATATGAATTCTAGATAAAGAAAAATATAACAGAGTAAAGAATAAGTTTAACTAAGAATATGAATTCTAGATAAAGAATGGTATGACAGAGTAAAGAATAAGTTTAACTAAGAATATGAATTCTTGATAAAGAAAGATATAACAGAGTAAAGAATAAGTTTAACTAAGAATATGAATTCTAGATAAAGAATGGTATGACAGAGTAAAGAAGAAGTTTAACTAAGAATATGAATTCTAGATAAAGAATGGTATGACAGAGTAAAGAATAAGTTTAACTAAGAATATGAATTCTAGATAAAGAATGGTATGACAGAGTAAAGAATAAGTTTAACTAAGAATATGAATTCTAGATAAAGAATGGTATGACAGAGTAAAGAATAAGTTTAACTAAGAATATGAATTCTTGATAAAGAATGGTATGACAGAGTAAAGAATAAGTTTAACTAAGAATATGAATTCTATGCTGCACCAGTATAATTACCGTCTATGCAGCAGATACGGTTCCAGAATATAAACTCAGAATTCTCTTGTACTCCTTACAATCATCTAAATAAAACAAACTTGTTTTTTTAATAAATGAAAAGAATAAGAAAAATATATAAAATAAATACAACAAATAAACAAAAGTACAGAAAATTTGTTTAAAAGAATATATTGTGCTGTGAGATCTGAATTTATTTATTTAAAATAGAAAATGTATAGTTATTTAATTCGAAATTTGTGGATTTGCGGATTTAATGAATTTATCCTATTTGATTAAACTTGTTTGGTTATTTAATTAAAACTAGTTTCAACTATTCCCAACTGCTCATTCACGTGTATTTTAGGTTTTAGACTGTGTTAATTTGCATTTATTAATTTCCACTCCTAGGACCTAATATGAGTGGTAAGTCGACCTACCTGAGACAAGTTATACTGATCAGTATCATGGCCCAGGTGGGGTGCTTCGTGCCCGCTCAATCAGCTGTTCTTAGGTTAGCCTATTTATTTTTTATGCCTAATTTCAGATTCATAATATATAATTTTTTATCTTTAACTGATTATTGTGTAACCAAATAAATTGAAACTTGCCACGAACTCCGGTTTTTAATCCCTGTATCTTTACAACGCAATGCCGCAGACCTTAGATATTTCAAACTATGAGTTCTATTAATGTTATATCAAACAATCAAAATTTGAATTTCAAAAGATTTACATAATTGTGTTGCGTAGATATTAGGTTAGAAAATTTGAGTTTGTGGAAAAGACTCAATTTTTTTTGTCTTCTTTTCAGAATTCCAGATCGTATATTTTCTCGTGTATCCAACCGTGACAGTATCGAGACTAACTCCTCCACCTTCATGATGGAGATGAGGGAGATCTCCTTCCTTCTCCAGCACAGGACAGACAGGTTGAGTAGCACCTTCTTTACATTGCATTGTTTGTTTCTATCCAATAAGCGTCAAAAATGGATAGAATGACCTGAACAAGCCCAATTATTTACAGGCCTCACATAACCCCAGACAGGGGTTATGGCCGATCAAAATCCAATTTTTACTTTTTAGTATTTTTTCGTTTGTAAATCCTGCGATGAAAACAGAAAAAAGTAACATTTTAAAGTTAAAAGTGTGACAAACAAGTAACAGTTTTATAAAGAAAACTTAACTATAAAGCTTTTACTTCCTACAATACAACTAACCTTAACAAATTTAATTCTTTTGTTTCCAATAACAATCTTTTTGGTGTGGCTTGAATCTAAATCAGTAATGCAAGCAATGAAAATTATACGTATAAATACTTGCATTTAAAAAATATATAATTGATAGATCGTTGATTATAATTGACGAGCTGGGCCGAGGAACTGGAGTAGATGAAGGTTCAGCAGTCTGCTGGGCAGTATGTGAGGAGTTACTCAAGGGTGGATCCTACACCTTCCTAGCAACCCACTTCCAGCTTATACCTCTTCTAGCAAACATATATCCAGCTGTAGTTAACTATCATTTCCTGCTTGACAGGGACCAGGAGCAGGAGGTTCATTTTACTCATGTACTAGGTACAGTTTACTCATGCACTAGGTACAGTTTACTCATGTACTAGGTACAAAATACAGTTTACTCATGTACTAGGTACACTTACTCATGTACTAGTACACTCACTCATGTACTAGGTACATTTACTCATTTACTAGGTACAATACAGTTTACTCATGTATCAGGTACAATACAGTTTACTCATGTACTAGGTACAGAATACAGTTTACTCATGTACTAGGTACAGAATACAGTTTACTCATGAATTAGGTACAATACAATACAGTTTACTCATGTATCAGGTACAATACAGTTTACTCATGTACTAGGTACAACAGTTTATTCATTTACTAGGTACAATACAGTTTACTCATGTATCAGGTACAATACAGTTTACTCATGTATTAGGTACATTATACAATTTTTGTAGACTAGTTTTCTGAAACTGTTCTGGAAAAGAAAAATAGACTCAATAATAAATAAGTTGGCATTTAATTCAAACAAAGAACTTTTTTTTATCAAATAGTCTTAAGATTTTTTAAATCGTCCAAGTGTCTTCACTAACATTTTACATTCTTTCTCTTCCGTTGACCAGTAATTCTTGTATTGTAGTGAAGGGACGGAATAGTGTTGAGATAAATGAGAACTATGGGATACATCTTGCTTCTTTTACCTCCCTCCCTCCCTCTGTAGTGAATTCAGCCAGAGGGTTTTTATCCAGGATATCTAACACAGAACACAGAGTTCCTTCTTTAGACAGGTTTATATCCCTTATTTTCTGTAGACAGGATATATATCCAAGATATGCATTAGACAGATAAAGAGGTTATAGATATATATAGATATATATACTTTGCTTGTCTGTCTGTTTGTATCCAATAATCGTCAAAACGGCTGAACCGATCGGGCCCAATTTTTTTGTGGGACCTCGCTTGACCCCAGGGAAGGTTATGGATGATCGAATTTTCAAAAAATTTCCGCCACGAAATTTTTTGTTATTGTTTTACTATGTTTTCGAAGAAAAAATGTTCACAAATGAAATAAAAGTTGGGCGCAAAGCGCCCTAAAAGCCTAGTATCTATAAATATACTTTGCTTGTCTGTTTGTCTGTCTCTCCGTTTGTATCCAATAAACGTCAAAACAGCTGAACCGATCGGGCCCAAATGTTTTGTGGGACTTCGCGTGACCCAAGGGAAGATTTTGGATGATCGAATTTTCAAAAATTTGTCTCCATCAAACTAATATTTTTGAATAAGTTTTAAATCCACGAATTTTTGATAAAATCTGCAAATTTTTTTGTTTGTTTTTGTTTTACAAGGTGCAATAAGAGAACAATGGAAATGGAAGATTGGCGCGAAGCGCCCTAAAAGCCTAGTTAAGTAAATTCTCTAGACAGATAGAGGGTTTATATTCAGGATGTCTTCTAGACAGATAGAGGGTTTATATTTAGTATATTCTATAGACTGATAGACTAGAGAGTTTATATCCAGTATATTCTCTAGACAGATAGAGTGTTTATATCCAGTATATTCTCTAGACTTATAGAAGGTTTATATCCAGTTTATTCTTTAGACAGATAGAGTATTTATATCCAGTATATTCTCGAGACTAATAGAAGGTTTATATCCAGTTTATTCTTTAGACAGATAGAGGATTTATAATCAGTATATTCTCTAGACAGATAAATGGTTTATATCCACTATCCAGGATATTTACTGATCTGATTATGTTTTTACCTAGATATCCTTTATACCTAGACGGATAAAGGATGTATATTGTATAACTATAGTTATATCCAGGATATTCTCCGGAAAGGTAGACGGTTTGTATCCAGGATATTCTCTAGAAAGGTAGACTGTTTACAACCGGGATATTCTTTAGACAGGCGGACGGTTTGTATCCAGGATATTCTCTAGAAAGGTAGACTGTTTACAACCGGGATATTCTTTAAGACAGGTAGACGGTTTGTATTCAGAATATCCTACAAACAGAAGGTTTATGTAAAAACGTGATCTTCGAAGCCGGAAGGAGTTTTTGTTCCAGGTTTGATGAAAGTTGTTTGAACTTATTGAGATCTGTTAAAGGATTGGTCAGGATGGGTATCAGAGACGAAGATCTAGTTCAGAATCTCAGGTCAGAAACTAGAACTTTATTTTCTATTCCCAATATCTTTTAAACCTGATGGTGTAAACTTTTTACGTTTCAAACTGAAACTGTTCGATTTAACAGAGAAAAATGATGTAGCTGATAATTTGGCTCAAACAACAAAATATGTATTATAAAGAAAGAATGGATGTTAATTACAGTTAAACCCTAAATGAGCTAAAATCGAAAGAATTTATCAAATGTCGTCTTGACAATGGGTTTTATACTATTTTAAGTAAATCTCAGTATTTGCGACATTGAATAATTAACTATGAATATGCGGTAACAGTTTTACAGAGCTCCATATAATCATTTAATTAAAAACTAAATATCTGCAACATTAGTTTTTTGATATAGAATTTCAAAAAATAATATATATTTATGAACAGGATGTTGAGAGAACAGTTTCTACAGGAATCTCCGAACTAGGGGAAAATCAAAAGCTCCTAGGATAGATAAATCTAAATCAGCGGACTTATTATTATAAACTACCACAACATCGTGTTAAGTTAATCCACAGCAGTGAACTGAATGAATAAACACTTGAATCAGTAAATGCGCCAAAATCAGTGAAACAAGAAAATTGAATGGATGGCCAGGATTAGGTATTCCGCCTGTTCAGACAACTCACAGTATTGATGCCAGAGAATGTTTGGTTGCTAGGTCTAACTTTATACTAGAAACCAAGGTTTATTGATACAATTTCTGCAACTTTGCTTCATTTACTTGCAAAGTGCATTTTGATGCTACAACGAGTTGAGAATTCTAGTGTTGGCAGTGTAGGGATAATGTACAACTTTTCCATAGAAACTTTATTCACATCAAAATATAAAATTTATGATATAAAAAAATTAATTCCCCTGAAAATGTTTGAAAGTTAAGTTGATGTCACAGGGAGATTTTATTATCTATAAAAGTTTGATCCTTGTATTTAATATTTATCCATCCTTGGGTTCCAGGTCAGGGTTCAATATCTGGAGTAAAACTATCTGGTTCCAACCCAGGATAGGATCGCGAGGAAGAGCAGGGTTCAGATTCTCACGAAATATAATTGATTTCAAATCGAGTGTTTTCTTGCATGCTTGGCAAGCAGGTCCCTTATAATTCATTAACTAGAAATTCTGGGAGAAAACTCTAATGATGTCTCTTAATCAGTTTTAATCATTATATCTTAATTGAGAACCTACATGTATCAACTTTAATAATTGTTTTAAAATGTAATCATTTGTATATTCATATTTTTCAGGCAATCATAAAATATCGTACATTATGTTCATTTGGTAAAATACTAAATCTTAAAAAGATTGTCACAATTTTTTTCTCTAATTCAGGTTTAATAAAATTATGTAATAATTAGTAATATTTAAAATGCACAAAAAGAATTAATTTTGTTAGATTTCTTATGAAATGATAGAATGGTTTCTGAGCGAAGATGTTTATAAATATGACTCCCATTTGCGCTTAGGCTTGTTTACAACAATCAACTAATAAAATGACGGTATTCTGATGTGGCAATACGAATGCTTGCACAAACGGTTAAATTTTGCTAAACGAGCTGACTGATAAATTGTAGAGATTGATTTAAAGATGAATGAACCAAGTGTGGAGATTACGAAGGTTAATAATGGCATAGGTTCCAAGGAGAAGAAGATCAACATATCTCCAGGTTCAGAATCAAACAAGAGATCAAAACAGTGTCTTTTCTGCTCTCTGCAATTTTCAGACCTTGAGGAATTGGAACTTCACCTAGTGAAGGATCATTACAGAGATTGTTTCCAATGTGGAATTTGTTTTCCTTCCACTAGACTCTATATATTCTATACAGACCTACTCTCTCACTACCTGGAGCAGCATGGTATCCTTAAACCTGAAGAGGAATATCAACTCTATATTCCGAGAAGACTGGAGCAGGTTACCTGCTCATTTTGTTCTCCCTCCAGATACTTCCTTGGTAAGGAGCTTGATGATCTGATGTTAGAAGTATATGATCACGTGTTCACTCAACATGAATCTGAATATGCTATAAATGAAGATAACCTAAACATAGGTTTAACTTACTTCTGCAGGATCTGTGTGAACCAACCTTTCTCTAGGACAGACCTAGAACACCATTTGGAGATACGTAAACCCAGGTCTATCACATATGAGACTCATCTGTATCCAGAAAGTCTGAGTAAACCTCGCTGTAGAAGTAGTTTCAAGGAGAAAAGCGAGAAACTTTACTCTGGTGAGAGAGAGAAGAGTCGAGATTCTTCTATCAGAATTACCGCGAGGTAAAATTTTTGATAGGCATATAAAAACCAATTTACGAACCTCTGTTACATCCAGTAAAAGCAGCTTCATTCTTAATTCTAATCAGTGAGATTTTTACTCAAAGCTTACTGAAAATTTCTATGTAAAAAGTCGTATTTATGAAGTTATTTTTTTCACATCATCTTTGTTTTACAGCTTCAACTATCACTTTATATCTATAGTTTTGAACAATACAGACTATCCCATGAAACATTAGACCTCTTACACAATAATAATAAATAATAAACTTTTTATTAAAGCCAGGTATCTAAGATTAGGGCTTATTATGTTTTCAAAAACTATTCATTTATTAGTCCGGAATTGTAAAACACACATTTAAGGTCGCCTTTAAAGAGGAACTGTAAGCGTAATTTCAAATGACCCTCAATGAAAAGAGGACCATGCCCGATTCACAACGGTACCCTTAAAACTTTTTTGGTTTCTCTACAAGTGACTTGCGCATTTCTACTGCAGAAAGCAAATATGAATTATCACAGTCAAACACTTTTAATTCTAGATTAACGACAATATCTTCCACAATATTGATCAGATAAAGTTTAAAGGGTCCGTTGTGAATCGGGCATTACCTTTTTTGCATGGAGGGTCACTTAAAATTACGCTTACAGTCCCTTTAAGGTCTAAAATGGATACATTTTCAATATCTCCGTCAAAGATGGTAGAACACGTTTAGGAAACCTGATAGTTTGACCGTTAATTGTTATGAAACAAGCAATTTTATTTACAATTAAGACTGAAGCTGACGACTGGTTGACTTTGGAACCATGCATGTGTGCAGCACAGTACAGTACACATGCATGGACACTGAAATTACTCTACAGTTGCGTTAAAAAGAATTTCAGGCTGTCGCTAATTTTATCATGACCTGCACACTGCTGCACATTAATCTTAAATGTTCGAGAAAATTTATCCGAAGAGTTTAAGTTGTTCTCATGTTTCTTGGTGCTCACTGTTTAATATTTTATTATCTGAGAACAGCTCGTTGGTCCAGTATTATCCAAGTAAAATCCAAGTAATTTATATGTTTCTCGGGATTTTAAATTTTAAAACTTTGCCAATCCTAAATTTAACATTCTGCTCAGAGAAGAGAGGAACTCGTCCCTTGGGAGGTTCTCCTCTTATCTCAACTGCAGGAACAGATCCAGAGATAATAACAATTCTTCGGAGAAAGAGAATTCAAGAACTGACAATAGACATTCTGTATCCAAGTTCTCATACAATAGAGCTTCTCGTTCAAGATCTCATTCAAAGGATTTAAACCCGGAAGGAGTTCAGAGATCTGTACTCGAAGAATTGGATCGTAACAGTTTAGGGGATACGCGTTTTAAACACCATAAGAAGCAAAAAACTAGTTTCACCGGAAAACTTGAAGATGGACCCAAGTTTAGGTTGGATGAAAAGAAGAAAATTAAACACTTGACTGACGAGAGAACAAAATATGATCAGAAGACCCCACGATCTGAAATTAAAAGGACTTCACAATCTGACCGGTCTAATGAAAAGTCAAGTAGTTCAATAGAAAGGACCATGAAGTCTGATGGATGGAAGAATGCCAGTTCTGAAAGGTCTACTGAGAAGACTGGAAAATCTGATTGGTCTAATGAAAAGTTAAGTAGTTCAATAGAAAGGACCATGAAGTCTGATGGATGGAAGAATGCCAGTTCTGAAAGGTCTACTGAAAAGACTGGAAAATCTGACCGGTCTAATGAAAAGTCAAGTAGTTCAAAAGAAAGAACCATGAAGTCTGATGAATGGAAGAATGCCAGTTCTGAAAGGTCTACTGAAAAGACTAGAAAATCTGTCCGTTCTAATGAAAAGTCAAGTAGTTCAAAAGAAAGAACCATGAAGTCTGATGAATGGAAGAATGCCAGTTCTGAAAGGTCTACTGAAAAGACTAGAAAATCTGTCCGTTCTAATGAAAAGTTAAGTAGTTCAATAGAAAGAACCATGAAGTCTGATGAATGGAAGAATGCCAGTTCTGAAAGGTCTATTGAGAAGACTGTAAAATCTGATTGGTCTAATGATGGTAATTATTCTAGCAACAAGAGTTCTGGTTCGAATGGGACTGAAAAAGGGATAAAACAAAGTGAGAGGATGAACTGGTCTCATGAGAAGAAAATGAAAATAGAAGATCAAAGATCCAACAGATGGAACTTTAAAGGCATGAGTATCGAGAACAAGTTAGATCAACAAAGCGAAGTTTCTGAAATATCGAAGACAGTAACAGACTTTCTTAAAAGGCATAGAATAGGAGACAAACAAGTTCCTTATACTTCTAACACTGAGTACGAGTGTACAGCAGAGAGAGGAGAAGGACGGATGAAAAAAGTTGAGCCGAGAGAGAAAACTTCTTCTCAAACAATTTCCCGGTCCAGTAAATCCAGGTAATCCCTTTACACTTGGCCTCAGGATAGAATTATTTTCTTCATTGGAAAAACATTCCGAACCATTTTCCTCATTGATTTTCCAGACATTAAGTTTAAAGGAAACCCATCTAGGTTGAGGGAAACTACCAAGAACCAGGAAACCAGATCTAAATCCGCTTCTTCAGGGAAATACATCAAATAGAGTCTTTTATTTAATTAAATCTTTTCAAACCAAGGAAAAAAAGAAAACTAGGTTTGTTGGACCTTTGTGTTACACCATGAAAATCAAATAAAAAAGTTTTCTTTTATGAGATTTATCGCGACTCTATATGATATTTTGTTGCAGCAGATACCAAGACTAAGAACGATTTGTTCTCCTGTTTGCTATGTTATGAAAAGTTTATAAATGCTCAGGACGGAATAGATCATCTTATGTCAGCTCACGGTATCAACAGTAACCCGGAGAAGTATCTCGAGAACTTTGAGTCTCCCCGTACTCATGTCTCTTTATGCTGCAAGCTCTGCAAGTGGAGGATGGATTCTAGCCTGGAGAAGGTTAGATCGGAGGGGAGATATCATATACAGGAGCACCCAACCTACTCTGGTTCTATCAGGGATGGGTTCAGTTTGATTTGTATGGTTTGTCAGTTTCAAATAGATGAGCTTAGTCCTGCAGCAATGAGTTCTCATCTTCGTAAACATGGAAATCAGGTAAAAAAAATTTAAGTATAGTTAATAACAATATCAGGTATACTTGATTTTAGTTTATATCAAAAATATACTTGATTTTAGTTGATATCAATATGGGATATACTTGATTGTAGTCTATATCATTATGAGATATACTTGATTTTAGTTTTAAGAACATTAGAATCAATTTTTTATCAGATAATTTGTTAAATTATCAACGAATTTTTTCGATTTCAAAATATCTTAATTCAGGTTCAGTGCAATTTTAACTTGCGAAAAATCGTCTTTTTAAAATGTTTTTTTTATATACAAAACGCATCGTTAATACACATTGCATATTGCAAAGACAATGTCTTTAAATATCTGGATGGATTTCTTCCTCTTTATGTTAGAATTATTGTATTTGATCTTTCTAGCTATTTTTGTCCAACATTTTCCTTAACTGTAGTGTTAAATTTTCTATTATGTTTTTATTACACTTACTGATGCACACAAAAATATATTGTGTGTCTTATTAAAAAAGAAATAAGAGTGCATTTTCAAAACTTGTATTAATACTTTAATGTTTGAGCCAAGTTTCTTCTTTTCTTTGTTCTTTTACTATGTTTGCTGTATTGAATTTTCTCAGGCTAAAAACAGGGAGAAGGTTTGCGGATACTGTCTGGAAGGGTTGGACCCAGCTCAAGGTTCGGCTCACTACACAGAGAACCATATCCTTGATCTGTTCTCCTGTCTCCTCTGTCAGGACGTGTTTCATCTCAACATTTCAGCAGTTTTACATCTTCAGGATACTCACAATCAACCTTTAAGCTCCAGTTACAAGTACATATCTAAACCTGAGGAGAATAAGTCCTATCTCTGTCTAATCTGCGGGCAGAGGTTCTTTAACAGGTCGGAGGATGATCTAAGAAATCATTTTCGTCAAGAACACGGTAAAGAGTTGGATGTTACCCAGGTTCGTTTCAGTTGCCGACTTTGTGCAAGGGATAATGTTTTCTATGACGAATCCTCCTTCACAGACCATGTAAACACGTGTGGTCTAGAATCCTACTCTCAGACTGAGCCTGGAGAAAAGAATTTCCTAGCCTATTCTCTGATTAAAACTGAGGAGAAGGGTTTCCCTGTCTACTCTCTGACTGAACCAGAAGAAAAGATTACCCCACCTTACTCTTTAGCTGAACCTGGTGAAAAGAGTTCTCCTGTCTACTCTTTAGCTGAACCTGGTGAAAAGAGTTCTCCTGTCTACTCTTCAGCTGAACCTGGTGAAAAGAGTTCCCCTGTCTACTCTTTAGCTGAACCTGGTGAAAAAGTTTCCCCTGTCTACACTCTGACTGATCCTGGAGAAAGGAGTTCCAGAACGTACTCCTTGATTGAATTCGGAGAGAAAAGTTTAAAACTGATTGAACCTGGAAAAAAGAGTCCCACCTTAAAGTTGATGTGGGGATGTGGAAGATGTGGAGTACAGAACCCTGTACAGAGAAGGATTTGTGGTAGTTGTGGTAATATCAGGATATGTTTTTAACAACAAGGATAACATCCTGGAAAAGAATCTAATAAACAAACCAATGTTTACACAATAGATGGGATCTAAACACAAGCTTCTCAGACATCTTCTCAAACTGAGAAATTATTTCCAGGAAATAATTTAATATTAAATATCTATTACAAGGTTTGACGGTTTGACGACCTTGAGTAATTAATGAAAAGCTGTTACAAAATCTAAAAACATAATAGAATATGCACATGTTTCAGAGAGAAGCCATTTTGAAATGAATTCTGTTTATTAAATATTTATTATCTTCCGACTCATTCATTAATGCTAATCTGCTTCTGCCTGCTAATTTATTTATTAACTTTGTTTTTTATTATTTTTTATTTATTTATTAGAATTATTTGTTGCATATTTTATTGTTATTTCATGTTTCTTCAAAATTGATGTAAAACAATTTTACCATAGTTAGTACACCAAAAAATTAGATAATGAAATTTTATTATTAAATATGTAGTATATAATCAATGTTTTTTGATTGGACAAATTATTTGTATCTTCATGGTTCTGATAAGTATATTTGTATCTTATCATGGTTCTGATAAGTATATTTGTATCTTATCATGGTTCTGATGAGTTTATTTGTATCTTATCATGGTTCTGATGAGTATATTTGTATCTTCATGGTCTGATTAGTATATTTGTATCTTCATGGTTCTGATAAGTATATTTGTATAAATATTTTCAAAATTAGAAAATAAAAATTTTGTCATTTTGTATTTATTCCAGAATTTTCTGCGAATAGAATGGTTCGGAACTGTTGAGGAAGGATATCAAACAAGAAGTTGAGTTCTGCTCCAGGTCTGATCCAAACCCAATAATGTATCCAGAGAAAACTTATATAGCTTTCAGACAAGGGAGGAGAATACAATATTTATTCTTAATGTTTGGCAGGTAGAAGAAAACCCCATTACAGTCTGAATACTCTTTTTGTAAAATCTCTCAGCCATATTTACTCCTACTTTTTATTAAGGTTTTTCATATTAATTATTTGATATTATTGGGAGTGTCCGGGAGAAAGGAAATGGGGTTTCAACTTTTCAGATAGAAACGTTGGATAGAATTAAGATTGGTAGCGATCGACACTCCAATCCTATTTTGTTTTTTGTGTAAATCCTCTTTTTTGAAACTTTACTTGTATCTTCCCTGTACCTAGGTTTTCCATTATTTATTTGAATGTCGACAAACTAATTAGAATTCGTTCCTGAAATCTAATGTTTATTGGAAATACTTTACCATACGACATATATCTATATATAAAGTTGTTATAATCTCTATTTGTTTGTTTGTTTGTATGTCCGATCATAACTCGTGAACTTCTGAACCGATTTGCCTCAAATTTTTATTGGGGAAGTCTGGAGAGCCACGGGTATGTTCTTAGCTTGGTTTCAAGGTTCTAAGCTCACCCTAAACTAAGCTTTTGGTGTGTTCTGCAGTACACTGACCGAAGCGTTTAGTGGAGAGTAGTGGGTCGACTTTTATAGGAAAATAGCTATAATTGTAATTTACGACCAAGCGCGGGTAAACTGCGAGCGTAACTATGTGTTACCTGGGCAACGCTGGGTTCCCAAGATAGTTTTTAATAAGATTTCCCGTTTTTAGAAGAAATTGGAGAAAGGTAAAGTTAATCCGCGCGTTCTATAACTTTCCTCGTAAAATACACATTTTTCATCCAAACTTTTCCCATTCACACTGAGCAGCTATCCTAGGTTCCTAAACGGAATAGGGGGGGGGGGGTCTTTTATAGATTCGTCTTCTTTTTATGACAAAAAATTACGTTTTAATAATAAATTTTCCAAATTAACGTGATTAAACGTATGTTTATTATTACATGATTGCCAGCGAACATTCTAACATTTACTTTTTATTTCAAATCCTTAATTTATAAAATATATCAAAATAACTTTAAAATTGTATGATGAATATAAAAATTGAATCCTGTATCAAGAAAATTTTAGGCTATGATTACACGAACAAAAGAAAAGAAATTGTTTCTTTGTCGTTCTCCAAAGTTATGACGCCTTATCGGAACAATGGCCTCAAGTTATCCATATTCTTGGCCGAATACAACATAATACATTGTATACACACGGTATCTTTATTATCTTGTGGGAGGAATGAATATCCCCCCCCCCCTCATTCGTCTCTCTCTCCTGGGGGAAAGAGAGGATAAATAGACCTCATTTAAAACTTTTCATTTGGTCTGATACGAACCTAGATCAGGAGATATCCATCTTAATCTTTCATCATCAATAGTCTAGTCGCCTGGTTTTTCTTTGCTTTTTCTCCATTAGTATTATTCACGTTTCTCAACCATAAAAGAACAGCTTGACATGGCTCATATATAAATATAGGATCATCAGTAGTCCTTTACAATCAGTACAATGGAGGTGCATAAATATAGGATCATCAGTAGTCCTTTACAATCAGTACAATGGAGGTACATAAATATAGGATCATCAATAGTCCTGTACAATCAGTACAATGGAGGTACATAAATATGTTTTTAATTTCTATCTCACGGATTTTAGCCGGTATCTCATAGTAAAGGAGATCATTTCAAGGGACCAGATTTTATAAATTACGTCTCGCAATTGATTAACCTTCTATAATTTAGTTGCTACATTTACCAGATGCATTAGGGTTAAAATATTTTTTGCGTAATCAATATTAAAAGCAAGATAACATCTTATGTAACGAGATTTTTTAAAAATTAGCCCAATTAAAAACATGCATAACAACTTATTTACGATTTGTAGGTCTTTAGTAGCGATTTATGCATTATTATTGTTAGTAATAACATTTTACTTAACAGCTTTTTATTATTATCGCCAAATTAAAAACATTTTCAACGATTTCTTGGTCTTAATTAGTGATTTTATGCATTAATATTGTACGTGGGTAAATACTGAAAATATATCACCCTCGCCATCTTCTCACTGCACACCCGCAGCAAAGGCATTGAATCTTTGCTGCAAACTCATATTATCACATCCCTATATCTTTGCATTCTCATGGTGTAAACCTTTGATATTTCAAACTTAAATTATTTGATCTAACAGAATTCATAGTTTAAAATATCTAAGGTCTACGACATAGGGTTGCGAAAATATAGGAATTTGAAAATTAGATTTAGTGGCAAAGACTCACTTCCTTTAGAACAAGAATTTGGATTAGTTTAAGCTCCAGGCTCTGTCCATGTCCTTTATAAAGATGAAAAATACAAATTGCAAATAAGTATTTAAATCGATAGTATAAAGCTCAAATTCATTAATTCCGGTCTAAGGTTTATTTACAAATATTGTGACGTATTAGGACAACTGGAGTTACATTTTTAAAAAACAACAGATAGTAAACTATGTCAAACAAAAGTATATTGCACGAAAGATTGAAATCTCATATATATTTTTAATCAACTCCTTATATGGAAAAATGCTTTAGATTTCTAATATGTAATCAAATAAATTTGCTTACTTCATTGCGTTAAATCTGAGCTTGACGAGCTGCATATTTACAAAGTTAAACCGGTCATATTGCATAGATTTTACTTTTGTCTGTTAAAGTTTAATATTAAACGTTGATTGCCTAGCTCCTAACCTCCTTTTCTCTATTCAGGAATTCCAAGTCTGTTTGCACGAACTGAAGCAAAAAGGAATTGAGCTTTTGCCGCAAACTCAAATTTTTTAATTCTTTTATCTTTGCAACGTTATGGTGTAAACCTTTGATATTTCAAACTTAGATTATTTGATCTAACAGAATTTATGAGTTTAAAATATCAACGGTCTACGACTTCGGGTTGCAAAGATATAGGGGTTTGAAAACTTGTTTGTGGCAAAAATCATATCCTTTGGGATTTTAAGATAGATAGTGATGCCGACCCACAGATGAATTGATAGATAGATAAATGACAATCTAGATATAATTACCCTCTACGGGTTATATAGTCCGGACTACAGAGTAAAAAGAGAAAGTGGAAATAGAACTGAGCCAACTCCGGGTGCACTATCCTACATAGACAAGAAACTAACATCCTTTCACCGCTGTCTGAAGGTTGGGGTGCCCAACCTTCTCCACCTTCAGACCATTAGATAGAGCTTTTAATACAAGGATTTGATTTTTAAATTCCAATATAAGCATTAGCCATTTTATTTATGTTTAATATAAATAATAAAACATTTTTCATGCTTGGAGCATCATTATGTGCAGTGAGACCTATAAAGACGATATTTAACAAATATTATGTGTGTTTGATGTTGTTATAAAGAAAATAGTTTTACTGGTGGCTAATTAATTTAAATGGGTCTGTGCACACTGCACAGCTGCTGTTTTTCATGTTCGTTAAACTAGTATTAAAAATCTAATTAGTAATTAGTCGTTTTCCTTTTCTACAGTTTTAGGGTTTTCATCGTAGTAAAGAAAATCAATACTAACTTTTTCTTTTACAGTGAAACACGCAGTATGTACACGACTTTACCCTTCATTATGAGGAAATTATTTGGTTTAATTCTATGATTTATCATGTGTAAAAGAATAAATATGTTTTCCAGGATTTGTTTCATATCCCAGGGTTGCAACTGAGCTGGGGCCGGAGTAAGGTTCAGCCGAGATATCCGACCCAAACCTTGGAGGATTGAGTGTGAGAGGGCGGGATACGACTCTCTCGGGAATCTTGAGTATTGGGACTTATCTGGAGAATGATAAATATTTCTCTCTCTAGAGCTACGTATATATATAATAACAACAAGGATAACTAGAGTCTCCGACTAATCGATATAAATATGCAATAACAAGAAGGTCACACTATAATTCGGACCAATAAGAGTCATTCAGTATTTGACACAAACTCTGATTTTCTAATCATTGCATACCTTTGCAACCCAATGTCGTAGACATTAGATATTTCAAAAACTATGAATTCTGTTATAGAATAAATACTTTAAGTTTGAAATATCAAAGGTTAACAACATCAGGTTGCTAAGATATAGGGATTTAAAAATTTGAGTTTGTGGCTCAAGACTCAATTTCTTCAGCGATTTTTAAAGTTAAAAGAGAAAAAAGGAAATTTTGATTATAAAATCTAAAACTACAATATATTTTAACAACTACCAACGCATGAAGGAACGAAAACGATAACTTTAACGACTTATTATTTTAAAAATAATATAAAATAATTCATGTTATTTAATGGTATCTGCATGTTTACAATATTCATGGATAAATAGTACACATATTTAACCCTAGAATTGGTAGTTTGGTTCTTGTGCTATTTCTCTCTCTAGTTAGGTTTGCACTGATCTGATGAAAACCTAATCTTTGGCAGACCAACAACATCAAATTTC